CTCCATTAGTGAAACAATAATATCTACTCTAGAGCCAATAGTATACTCAGTATTGAACTATGACTATTTAACGGAAATAAATAATTATTGCACACACATAATATTCCAGGTGTTCACATAAGCTTTAAGAGCCAGCACATTACGGCCTTGTGCGATCCCAAGATTCATGAGTGTGTTTGAGAATTAGCCCAAATCTCATAGGTAGCGCCCCACTATCACACTCACATAGGTGAATTCTGTCAAGGGTGCTCCTGTAACTATGACACCCCACTCAATAAGAGCTACAGAAATTCATTAAGAATTTTTTAACAACTCAACCTCTACAACGTTACAGGATAAATGCACTTACATCATAGGGATGGGTAAAAAGTAATTTAGTGCATTTCTCACGGCCATCATATGATCGTTTTTCTCATGGAATCCAGTTACAGGATCTCTGATCCCTGGGTTGAGTATCCTCATACATGGCTCCTGCTATATTCAATGGGCTTCAACCCCATTCTCCTCGATGTATTCCAGACTCTATCTCTTGCTAAGGCCTTAGTTAATGGATCTGCAAGATTATCACCAGATTTAATAAAATCCACATTTATGATGCCATTATTCATATAAAATCTCACAGCACTGTGTTTTCTTCTGATAGGTCTGGATTTACCGTTATAATAACGATTATTAGCTCGACCAATTGTTGCGATGCTATCACAATGAATCAATATAGATGGAATTGGTTTTTCTCAACAACAGATTTCATTTAACAAATCTCTCAACCAATTTGCTTCTTCACTAGCTGTAGCTAAAGCAATAAGCTCAGCCTCCATTGTTGAATTAGCAATAATGGTTTGTTTTTTCGATTTCTAACTTATAGCACCACCTCTCAATGTAAATAAGTAACCAGTGGTTGATAATGAATCACCTAACAAGGTATTCCAATCAGCATCACTGTAACCTTCAAGTACTGCAGGATACTTATTATAAAACAAGCCATATTTTATGGTACCAAATAAATATTTCATAATCCGCTCAATGGCTAGCTAGTGATCACTGCCAGGCTTGCTAGTAAACCTGCTAAGTACTCCAATTGCGTGAGCAATGTCAGGTCTAGTACAGTCAGTCGCATAACGCAAGCTACCAATCATACTAACATATTCTTTTTGATTAATTACATCCTCATCATTTTCAATAAGAAATAAACGCACATGAGGATTGAAATGAGTAAGAACATGCTTGCACTTATAAAAATTATATTTTCTCAAAATTTTCTCAACATAATGCGACTGATCAAGAAATATACCATCATAAGTTTTGGTAATTTTTATTCCCAAAATACAATTAGCCTCACCAAGATCTTTCATATCAAAATGGCTACTAAGCATATTTTTAGTTTCCATGATGATATGCAAATTAGAACCAAATATAAGTAAATCATCCACATAGAGGCTAATAATGACATGTGAATTCTCTTCAGATTTATAGTAGATGCATTTATTACATTCATTCGTTTTATAGCCATTCTCAATCATGCAGGAATCAAATTTTTCATGCCACTGTTTAGGGGCCTGTTTTAAGCCATATAGGGATTTAACTAGTTTGCACACTTTGCTTTCTTGACCAGGTTCCACAAAACCTTCAGGTTGATCCATATAGATTTCTTCACCCAGGTCTCAATTTAAAAAGGCTGTTTTAACATTCATTTGATGAATTTTTAAATCATGAATTACAGCCACTGCAATTAATAATCTAATGAATGTAACTCTAGTAACCGAAGAAAATGTATCAAAAAAGTCAAGATCTGCTTGTTGTTTAAAACCTTTTGCAACAAGCCTTACTTTATATTTATCCATAGTTCCATCCATATTAAGTTTTTTTCTCAAAACCCATTTACAGCCAATAGTTTTATAACCTGGTGGTAAATCTACTAATACGCAAGTTTTATTGGATAATAATGATTCCATCTCATCATTTACAGCCTCGTTCCAAAAAACAGAGTCAGGAGATGCCAAAGCTTCTTGTAAAGTTAATGGAGTTTCCTCCACATTAAAAACATGATAATCAGGGCCAAAATCTTTTTCTAATCTGGCTTTTTTACTCCTAGGTTCAAAAACTACAGTATCTTGATTTTGTAAAAGTGGAGTAAAGAAACCGATTTTAGATAAAATATTTTCTTGACAATTTTGACCCCTACCATTTTTAGATTTAAAAAGAAATTTTTCTTCATGAAAAATTGCATCACCTGATTCAAAAATTATTTTGTTTTCAATATCAAAAAATCTATAGGTTGTACTATTTGTTGCATATCCAAGAAAAGCACAAGTGGCAGCTTTCACACCTAATTTAGGTCTTTTAGGGTTCACAAGTCTAACAAAAGCTAGACAATCCCAAACCCTCAAATATCTCAAATTTGGCTTATGTCCTTTCCACAACTCAAAAGGTGTAACTTTTATTTTTTTATGTGGCACTCTATTCATAACAAAACATGCAGTTAAAATTGCTTCTCCCCACAAATTTGAAGGAGCACCTGTTTCAATTAGCATAGCATTTGTTAAATCAGTTAAAGTTTTATTTTTCCTTTCTGCTACACCATTAGATACAGGTGAATATGGTGAAATAGTTTCATGGATTATTCCCAAAGACTAAGCAAACGAGTTGAATCCAAAAGATTCATACTCCCAGCATCTATCACTTCTATATCTTTTAATCTTTTTACCGAATTGATTTTCAATTTCAAGAAGGAATTCTTTAAATTTTTCAAAAGCATCACTTTTATTTTTCAACAAGTACACATAAGTGTATTTTGAAAAATCATCACTAAAAGTGATAAAATATCTATTTCCACCACATGTTAAAATTCCTTCAAATTCACATAAATCAGTGTGAATTAATTCTAATAATTCAGTATTTCCCACCACATTTTATGAGGCCTTTTAGTTACTTTTGTTTGACTGCAAACTTCACATTTCTCAAACTTATTTGTTAGTCAGGGAATTAATCTTAAACTACTCATGACTCCCACATATCGGCTATTAATATGACACAAACGAACATGCCAAAAATTCATAGAAGACAACATGTAAACAGAAACATGTGCTTTCTTATTCTCAACATTTAATTTAAACATTCTATCACAGGCATACCCTTTCCCCACAAATATGCCTTTTTTAGTGATTACATATTGGTCAAATTCAATAGCCTGCTTGAAACCAACTTTGTTTAGCAAATAACTCGACATCAAATTTTTTCTCATGGACGGTGTATACAACACATCTTTTAAAACAAGCACACGTCCAGAGGTAAAATTCAACTCAACATCCCCACACCCAAGCACCTTGGTTAAACTGGAGTCACCAAGCATAACAATCATCTCCTCATTAAAAGGAGTGAAATCTTTGAACCAATCTTTATCATAACAAACATGCCTATTGGCACCAGAGTCTGCCCACCACCCTTCGACAAATTGAACCATAAAAATATCTGTAATCATAGCCATAAATGGTTCCTCAGTAACATTAGCCTGTGGTCGAGACTGTTGTTTCCGAAATTTGCAAGTTCGAGTAATATGCCTATTTTTGCCACACACAAAACATGTCACATTTGTCAAATCTTGTGAAGGGGGTTCTTGGTTCCATTTCTTTTGCCTCGGGTAATTTTTATTTTGTGACCTTCCAACATTTTTCCAAATTTTCTTAACTGGCTTTAAGTGATTATTTTTATGAAATCGACCTTTAGGTAAAGTATTTCAAGAAGTTAAATTTATCTTTGCAGTGGAATGCTCTTGTGTCATAAGCTCATATTGTCCTCGTGCTTCCTCCTCCACCCGAATCCGTGTGATTAGAGTCTCCAAGGACGTCTCTTTTTGTTTGTAACTCATTGATTTCTGGAACTCCCTCCAAGATGATGGTAGTTTGTCAACAATACCTGCTACAACAAGATTGTCTCCAATTTTGATGTCTTCAGATCTAATTTCAACCACTAGCATCTGAAAATCTTGAACTTGCTCCACTACTGATTTTCCATCTATCATTTGATAGTGGAAAAAACGGCTTGCAGCATATTTTTTAGCGCATGCCTCTTCAGTGTCATATTTATTCTGCAAGGCTTTCCAAATTTTCTTGGTAGTGTTGTAAGTAGTATCATAATAATCATAAAATTGATCTGAAAGACAATTCAAAAGATAATATCGACATTTATACTCATCTGTGTTGTATTTTTCAATTTTTTCAAGATGAACAGCATACTCCTCGTCGGTCATCTCTTCAGTGGGGACTTTGTTCGGATTTTTCTCGGTCAGGATATGGGCCATCTTGAGGAGACTGAGGTAGAAAAGCACATTGCATTTCCATCTCTTGAAATGGGCTCCCTTGAACCGGAAGGGCTTGTTGAGATCGCCGATATTCTCGTTGAGCTTCTCCAGTACTGGCTCCATGAATTTTTGCTACTTGAATCTCCTTAAAATTATTGGTGATAATTACAAATAAAACACCAGAAAATACAAATAATAAAAATTACAATAACTATTATAAGGACTGAGGCTCGGGAAATTCGCTCTCTTTAAGGAGATTCAAGCCCTCTGCGGTTAGGCAAAGCCTCACACCAGTGCAGTAGAAAAAAATCTTAACTTGTCCCCCCAGGATACAACAGCCCGACTAAGTCGTATGGTTAACCAATACTGCACAATTGGTTGAACCCAAAGCTATACACATACACTCTTTTTTATTTGCCTGATAATCTCACAAATAAGAAACTTGAGCTACCAATAAGAGAGGTGAAAGGCTCAATTTATAGGAGATGAAAGCTTAGTAGACAAGTTTCCTGGAGGATTCTTGGAAGTTGCTTGGAGGATAAGTATAGGAGAGGAAGCTCGGTGAGAAAGTTCCTTGGAGGAGACTTGAAGGCAAAGAAAAAGACTTGACTTAGGCAAAGACTTGGAGAGAAAGAAAAAGAAAACTTAGAGGGAAAGAAAAGAAAATCAAACCTATAATGCATTATAATTTTAAAATATCTACTAACAATTTCTTTCCAAATCCATCATGCAAACACAGTCCAAGTGTTAACTTATATTAACTTAATATTTTAACATATCAAGGATTGAAGGTGGGTAAGGATTCTCATTCTTATCCTTTTAGACTAAATTCAATGCAAACAGATGATTTCAACCTTAGAAGTTTTGGCTCTTTCATCTTTATACCGATGTTTCATTATACTGTTTGCCATCTCACTTGTATTTCTTGAATTCTGATTTTTTTTAATTTCTTTTGGATGGTAGCTTGAAGCATCTACTGGGTTTCATGGAGGAAGCAGAGGAGCTGAAGTCGAAGGGTGTCGATGGAATCTTGTGTCTTAGTGGTACCTTTCTAAACTTCAACCTTGTATTTTGTTGTCTTCTTGTCTAGCACAATAATTGCACCATTCCTGCAACTCTGAAGTTGTTTACCTTTAAATCCTTTTTAGATTTGTTTTTCCCCACCGAGATACTCAACAATCTGTTCATTCATCGCACAAGTAAATTAAAAGCCTCGGGTAAAATGCTTGTTGTAACCCAACAAATGAAGTACATTACATAAGTCTGTTTTATGGATTCCCATTCAGTGACTTGGCACTTGATGTTCCCCAAATGGGTACTATCGGGGTGAGGTGAATTTAATAATAGACGTTTGTTAGCATTCCAGTCTTATTCTTTTCAGGCCTATCCGAAAGAGAATCCAATCCTATACAATGAAATTTAGGCCAACATGTATACAATATAATAGTATCCGTGGCAGTTTCTTTTATGGTATCGGCTAATCAAGATACTCAATTTGCTTAATCTGTATCTATTTCTACAACTGAATGTGGTGGTGGGTTGTGCTCAATTTGGCAGTGAATGACCCACTTGTGATGAAGGCGTGGGCAAAGACATATTGTGAGAACAAGCATGTTAAGTTCCTTGCTGATGGTTCTGCAACCTATACCCATGCTCTTGGGCTTGAGCTTGACCTTGTAGAAAAAGGACTCGGAACTCGCTCTCGTAGGTTTGCTTTATTGGTTGATGATCTTACAGTGAAGGTTGCGAATGTTGAATCAGACGGAGAGTTCACTGTATCCAGTGCTGATGATATTCTTAAAGCTCTCTAAATTGGCTCTTCAACTATTCCCTTTTTGGTCTATGACCTCCAATCTGGGTTTTCAAGTAGTATGACTTTTGAAGTTTGTTAAGTGGAGCTTGGAGGAAAACAATATCGAACAAGTTTACTATTATATTGTTATTTTGTTATGAAAATTGCAATTGAACTTCTATCTCTGCATCATAATATATATATGGAGAATCAAATATGTTAAATTTGAATTTTCATGCCTAAAACAACTTGTTTCTGTCATTTTTGCAAATTTGCCTCTCCTCGTCAGAGAATGTTTCTTTCGCAAGAGCATTGCACCACAGATGCATTGGCTATGAATGTATTAGCAACCCCCTTTATGAAAAAAGGTTGTAACATCACCGCTTTTAAATGATAAAGTTTGTCCCTTTTGTATTTGTTTAATTTTGAACTAAAAAGAAAGAAAAAAAAAAACCAACTAAAAATGGTTAAAAGCAGCCTTAAACATATTGGCTTAACACAAAACTAGGATGGGCATTCTTAACTACTAAGTAGAGACTTACATTATAAAGTTACTTTTGTATTGATCTTCTTTTTTTGGTATGAGACATAGAACCTTAATTGTTCAATGGCCTAATGATTTTGCTTATTACAATTCACTATTTTTCCATGTATAGCAAAGCAATTATTTAAATAGTGTCATTATAGCTCAAACCTAGTATAATTGCAAAATGAATCAAAGATTAATTTCTCATTTCCTTTCAATTTTCTTCTTCTTCTTCTTCTTCTTCTTCTTCTTCTTCTTCTTCTTCTTTTAAATGTATTGAGAAGGAAGCAAAGAGTGTCATACTAGAGCTTGCTAGAGTGATGACGAGTAGTACTAGTTTCAACAATACCAACTGAAGTCATCCATTGCTTACCAAAAGCAATAATATTTCCACTGTTTTTGTTCTTGATAGCAACCACAACCAATGAAAGCTTCTCCTTATGCCCTATAACCTTTCCCTCTATCTCTACTTCTTCCTGCATTTTACACAACATAGTAACATATCATTAGAGCACTATGCATGAAATTGACTGATTGCTAATCCAAGATTCAAAGCATTAGCCTACTAAATTAGCAATAATTTTTCATATGTAAAACCAATTATAAAACTAATCACAAAAAATATTGGTTGAACAATGCGAGTAAAAAAGCCTCCTTAATGATGGGCCTCATATGATATATATACAACGACTACCATTAATTTTTGTCACTGATTCGGTTGTTGATTTTGTGTTCATTGGTCATTTGGGTTTGTTTGTTTTCTTTCTTTCTTTCTATTTTTTTTTTAATCTTTTTGACTTTTTATAAATAAATAAAAAACTGTGCTGAAAAATAGAGAGAGTGATATGACAACTTATATGATGTTTTTTCCTTTTTGGCTTTTTAGGTGGTGTCCCCAAACCAAGCCTACATTATTATTTAAAAGGTAAATTACACTAACGTCGCTTGAGGTTTGATAGAAAAAAAATACAATAAATTTTACAAGTTTGAGTTCACTTAACGATTTTAATGCACATAACACTTAACTTCATTTTTATCAATAATTCATTAGTTATATAGATTTAAAAAATAATGCTGTCATCTCTTTTACACCGAAATATATATTTTATTTTGTTTATATTTGTGTCTTCACATTATCTATATTAGTGTTGACACCATAAAAATCTATAATTTTATTATTTATTATTTATATAATTGTAGGACATGTGACACCCTCCTACTTATTTGGAGATTATGAGAAGTCATGAAATGTAGAAAGATGATAGAGAACAAAGTGGAGAACATGGAGCATGAAGTGGACGTTGAAGGAAGTATTGGAAGATCATGGAAGATGAAATAGAGGAGGTGGAAGAGTGGGTAGTTTTAGCTACAAATGTTTGCCTACAAATAGCCATTCATGGCTACATTGTAAAAGGACCAACTCAAATCAAAGACAATTGATTTAGATTTTTCTTGTCATTTTTCTTATCTTAGGAGTAGTTTAACATAGATTTATATTGCATGCACTCTATTTTATACACTTCCTTTTCAAAGTATAGGAGTAGAAGTAAATAATGGTTACTTTGATTGTTCACTCAATCACCCTGATTATTCACTCAATCATTTATCTCTGTCTCTCTCCTTCTTCTTTTAATTTTTCTTTTCCCTACGCTAAGCAATTTTGAAGTCCTCTTTGTTGAGGCAAAAGAACCCTCAACACAATCGCTTGATAATTTGCTTGAATTTAATCTGTAAGGATTTTTCAATCCTTACTGACATGCTCGCATTTATAATATTTTCATTCGTAGGAAAAATAAGCCAACAATTTTTGGCACGCACAATGGGACATCAAGTGTAAGAAATGAAAAATAAATTGGATTTGTCGATTCCAAATAACTTAGATGAAATCTTTTGGCATAAAGAAAAAATTTTGAATTTTCAAGAAGAGATCCATTTTCTTGATAAAATAAACTTTCATCCCTTACAATATTATTTGGTGGAAGAAAAAAGATGCCATTTAATTGGAGAAATTCATTAACTTGGTATGGAAATTCGCCAATCGAATGATGAGTTGTCAACTCTCATTACCAAGTCTTTAACTGAGGTTTTAATGGCCAGAATTGGTGAATTTTTTTAGAATTTTTCCATGGTTGAAAATAGCAAAAGCAAATAGTTGATTTCATCAATGGCTCAGAGGGTCAAAAAACTCATTTTTAAAGAGCCAATTTATGAAAATAACATAGCTAAAAAGTATGTTGTTAAGCCAAGCATGGTCAAAAATAATGTTCCATTTAAGACTCAGGGGGTTGAAAAACTCATTCTTAGAGAGTTAAACCATGGACATAAGATGTCTATGAAGGATTTTCATAAGTTATTAATGACTAAAATGGAACAACCCATTAAGTCAAAAAGTGATGAAACTCATATGGAGGGTTTTCTTAAGCCATTAATGGCTAAAATGGAACAATCCCTTAGACCAAGAAATGATGAAACTCACATGGAAAATTTTCATAATCCATTAATGGATAAAATAGAAAAACAGCCCCATTTGTCAATGAATGATGAAAGTAATTTGGCTAAAAAATATGCTCTCAAGCCAAACATGGCTAAGAATGATGAACAATTTAATATTCATGAATCTGAATTTTTTGAAATTATTCAAAATGTCAAGTTGTTTAAATTTTTAAAGCCATCTTGTACTATAGTTCTTGGTGTTCAAAATCCTTTTTGGATTCGTGGTTCACATCAAAATTTAATTTTGACGAAATAGCTAATAAAACAATCATCTTGAAGCATTGTTTTGATGAGTTTGATGCACTAAAGAACAACTTAGCCATTGGAAATGTTGAACTTGACTAGGAAAAACCCATACATTTAAATAAGTAGTTAGGAATGGCTTATCTTTTCAAATTGATGGCCAATTTTTTTTTTCTTTTTTTCTTTTTTTTTTTTTAAAGGCACAAAAGGCACAAAATAATGACAGTATATGTGCTTCGGTTGTAGTCAAACAATGGCTCTTGCATTCAACCGACAAAATTGCGAACATTAGTGCAATTATATCATTCGAAGCACTTTGTTGCTTAGATTAGTCATTTCCTTGGTTCAGCCCTTCAAAAATCTAAGTAAACATCATTTTTAATGGCCGCAGGAGGTAATGTTGGCACAGTAAATTTGTAATTTTATTATTTATTATTTATTATTTATATAATTGTAGGACATGTGGCACCCTCCTACTCATTTGGAGGTTATGAGAAGTTATGAAATGTGGAACGATGATAGAGAACAAAGTGGAGAACATGGAGCATAAAGTGGAGGTTGAAGGAAGTATTGGAAGATCGTGGCAGATGAAATTGAGGATGTGGAAGAGTGGGTAATTTTAAGTAGTTTTTTCCTACAAATGTTTGTCTATAAATAACCATTCATGGCTATATTGTAAAAGGACCAACTCAAATCAAAGACGATTGATTTTTATTTTTCTTGTCATTTTCCTTTAGTTTAACATAAATTTATATTGCATGCACTTTATTGTATGCACTTCCTTTTCAAAGCATAGGAGTAGAAGTAATTAATGGAAGATGAAATGGAGCAGGTGGAAGAGTGGATAGTTTTAGGTAGTTTTTTTCTACAAATGTTTGTCTATAAATAGTCATTCATGGCTACATTGTAAAAGGACCAACTCAAATCAAAGACGATTGATTTTTATTTTTCTTGTCATTTTCTTTATCTTAGGAATAGTTTAACATAAATTTATATTGCATGCACTTTATTTTATGTACTTTCTTTCGCAAAACATAGGAGTAGAAGTAATTAATGGTTACTTTGATTGTTCACTTAATCACCCCGATTGTTCACTTAATCATTTTTCTCTATCTCTCTCATTCTTCTTTTAATTTTTCTTTTCTCTACATTTGGCAATTTTAAAGTTCTCTTCGTTGAGGCAAAAGAACCATCAATGCAATCGCTCGATAATTGGCTTGAATTTAATCTGTAAAGATTTTTCAATCCTTACTGGCACGCTCGCATTTATGATATTTTCCTTCGTATGAAAAATAAAAATAACAATTACTTACCTCTACTTCTATGTATTGAAAAGGAAGTGCTGAAAATAAATGCTTCAAAAAAGAAGTGTGTAAAATAAAATGCAGGAAATATAAATGACAAGAAAAATATAAATCAATTGTCTTTGATTTGAGTTCTAGATCACCCTAATTGTTCATTCAATCATCTTTCTCCGTCTCCCTCTTTCTTTTGTTAATTTTTGTTTTCTTTACACTTAACAATTTTGAAGTCCTCTTCATTGAGGCAAAAGAACCGTCAATACAATCACTTAATAATTGGCTTGAATTTAATTTGTAAGAATTTTTTAATTCTTGCTAGCACACTTTCAGTTATAATATTTTCCTTCGTAGGAAAAATAAGCCAACAATTTTTGGCACGGCCAGTAGGACGTCAAGTGTAAGAAATGAAAAATGAATTGGATTCATCCATTTCAAATAGCCTAGATCAAATGTTTTGACGTAAACAAAAAATTTTGGATCTTCAAGAAGAGATTCATTTTCTTGATGAAACAAACTTTTATCTATTACAATATTATTTGGTGGAAGAAAAAAGACACGATTTAATTAGAGAAATTCATAAACTTGATATGGAAGTTCACCAACTAAATGATAAGTTGTCAACTCTCACTACTAAGTCTTTAATCGAGGCTTTAATGACCGGAATTGGTGAATTTTTTCAGAATTCTTTAAATGTTGAAAATGACAAAAGGAAATAGCTGATGTCATCAATGGCATGAGGGGTTAAAAAATTCATTTTTAAAGAGCCAACTTATGAAAATAACATGGCTAAAAAGCATGTTGTTGAGCTAAATATGATTAAAAATGATGTTCCGTATAAGGCTCAGGGGGTTAAAAATCCATTCTTAGAAAGTCAAGCCATGGAAATAACATGTCAATGGAGGATTTTCATAAGCCATTAATGGCTAAAATAAAAATAAAAAAACAGTCCCATTTGTCAATGAATAATGAAAGATGGTCTTGACGGTGCTTCATACCATGACTGAGGCACAGGTGATGACCTCTCATGATTTTGATTACTAGTCTGACCATTAGTTTGTCTATTATTCTGCATATGTTGTTTATCTCGAGTCAATATATGCTGAAAGGAATTCATGTTTTCTTCAGCCTGTCTTATGACAGTTGATTGATGAGAGATATTACCCATCTTTCCATTGTATACATTAGTTGTTGCCCCATGGCATCTACTATACTTCCCCATGGATTCATTGGTTGGGTAGAAGGGACAATCAAGGGTCCAGTTTCATGGCCCTATCTAATATGTTTGACATGCGTTATATATTCTAAAGTGCTAGTCTGTTCGACCATTTGTGGAGGATCTAATGGGATAGGTGCATCCATGGGATGTGATATTACATTATCCTCTAGGTTAAGTACTTCTGCCTCTCCTTCCACACGTTCTTCCAAGCGCTCATTTTCTTCTCTTGTTCTACATCTAGCCATTTTTAATAGTCCCACTGGGCGTGCCAAAAATTGTTGGCTTATTTTTCCTACGAAGGAAAATATCATAAATGCAAACGTGCCAGCAAGGATTGAGAAATCCTTACAGATTAAATTCAAGCCAATTATTAAGCGATTGTGTTGATGGTTCTTTTGCCTCAATGAAGAGGATTTCAAAATTGTCAAGTGTAGAGAAAAGAAAAATTAACAGAAGAAAAAGGGAGACGGAGAAAGACGATTAAGTGAATAATCAAAGACAATTGATTTCTATTTTTCTTGTCATTTATATTTCTTGTATTTTATTTTACGCACTTCTTATTCGAAGCATTTATTTTCAGCACTTCATTTTTAAAGTATTTTATGCACTTCATTTTCCAAGCATAGGAGTAGAGGTAAGTAATTGTTACCGTGATTGTTCACTCAATCACCCTGATTGTTCACTCAATCATCTTTCTCCGTCTCCCTCTTTCTTCTGTTAATTTTTATTTTCTCTATACTTGACAATTTTGAAGTCCTCTTCATTGAGGCAAAAGAACCGTTAACACAATCGCTTGAGAATTAGCTTGAATTTAATCTGTAAGGATTTTTCAATCCTTGCTGGCACGCTTGCATTTATGATATTTTTCTTCGTAGAAAAAATAAGCAAACAATTTTGGGCACACCCAATGGGACTATTAAAAATGGCTAGACATAGAACAAGATGAGAAAATGAGCGTATGGAAGAAGGTGTGAAAGGACAGGTAGAAGTACCAAACCTAGACTCAGATCCAGAAACCAGTTTATTTACTTCATATTTCTTTTCAGTTTTACATTTCCAGTTCTTTACATTTTTAGCATTTCAATTCATGTACTGCACTTTATTTCCTAAGAGTAGTTTCAAGTAGTTGCTACTGCAAACTTTTTCAAGACTGGGTCATTTCATTGTAAGTTCTTATTTATTTAATGAAATTCAGTTTTTGAATTATTCAGTACTTATTATTTCTTATCAGTTTCTCCTAAAATAAGCGACCAATAAAAGTCATCTTCATTAAGACTGAAAGAATTTCAACACAATCGTCTGATAATTTGTTGGCAATTAAAATTCTACAAGGACTGATTGATCCTTACTGACACGCTTAAATTTACAGTATTAACCCTCGAAAACCAAAAAAACCAACATATATTTTGTGAACATTTGGTGCTATTATATCATTCGAAACACTTTGTTTATATTATTCGAAGCACTTTGTTGCTTAGATTAGTCATGTACTTGGTTCGACCCTTCAAAAATTCAAGTAAACATCTTTTTTAATGGCCGCGGGGGGTAATATTGACACCATAAATCTGTAATTTTATTATTTATTATTTATATAATTGCAAGACATGTGGCACCCTCCTACTCATTTGGAAGTTATGAGAAGTTATGAAGTGTGAAAAGATGATAGAGAACAAAGTGGATAACATGAAGTGAAGGTTGAAGGAAGTTATGGAAGATCATGGAATATGAAATAGATGAGGTGGAAGAGTGGGTAGTTTTAGGTAGTTTTTTCCTACAAATGTTTGCCTATAAATAGTCATTCATGGCTATATTGTAAAAGGTCCAAAAATTCAAATTAAGGACAATTGATTTCTATTTTTCTTGTCATTTATATTTCCTGCACTTCATTTTTTAAGCATAGAAGTAGAGATAAGTTCTCTGCACTTTATTTTATGCATTTCCTTTTCGAAGCATAGAAGTAGAGGTATGTTCTCTGCACTTTATTTTATGCACTTCCTTTTCGAAGTATAGGAGTAGAAATAAATTAATAGTTAGTTTGATTGTTCACTCAATCATCTTTTTCCGTCTCCCTTTTTTTGCTTTTAATTTTTATTTTCTCTACACTTGGCAATTTTGGAGTCCTCTTCGTTGAGGCAAAAGAACCGCCAACGCAATCGCTTGATAATTGACTGTAAGGATTTTTCAATCCTTACTGGCACATTTACATTTATGATATTTACCTTCGTAGGAAAAATAAGCCAACTATAATCTTTTTAACCTTATTAAAAAAAATATATGTACCGTAATTACATCAAATCACAGAACTTAATGTATTTTCTTCGAATAAAGGATGTTGATATAATTTACCCTTACTTAAACATTACCACAATGGATTGTCATTAAGGTTAAAAAAAAAAAAAAATCTAACCCAAAAAAACAAATGAGAAAAATGTCAACAAGTGTGAATTTCAATGTATTTTAGATGGATGCTATATTTTTGCATAATTTTACACACTATGTTCTCTAGCTAACGATGAGAGATTATTTAGTGATAGTAGAGCAATGATCCAGTATCCTTATATTGTATCATTTGTTTTCTTATCTTTTAAAAGCCAACACAAAAATAGTAAATTTTATTATTTTAACTAATAAAAATCTAACTAGGGCACCTTATAAATTTGCAAGACAACCATTTTAGTTTTAACCAAACAGCGCTGCTTCAGACCCCCAATGACGTGGCGCGCTGCCATCCGTTGAAACAAAAAAAAAAAAAAAATTTTGACCAATCACGGGTCTTCACGTACGACCCCCAGTGACCCACATTGGGGGTCTTAGGCATTTTTCTTAACCAAATCTAAACTCACTCTGTTATGAAGAAGAAAAAATTCTAAACTCAATCTTACACAGCGTTTGACCAAGCATTTGAATTCAGACCCATACGATTTTTATTTTTAAGCAAAATTTTGAATTTTTTGAATTATTTTTTTCAGGTAAACTGTTAATATATCTTAATAGTTGAAACTAATTATCATGAAGTCGATTTTTTTTTGTCACGATTTTTATAAATGGTAGCTAAAATTTACAATTAATAACTTTTTCTGTAATGAATTTTCAAACTATTGTTAAAAATTAATAATTAATGACATTTTTTTAATAATATTTAATGAAAAATGTCATTAATTTTCGCCGGACCTATTAGATAATAAAATATAGCAAGTATTTTTTTTTTTTTTTTTTGAAAGAAACAGTAGAGAAAAAGAATATGAAAAAAAAAAGTGGGAAAAGGAACCTGAATTTTAGCCGTTGAATGGTAAGAAATGGATAAATTGACTGAAACTTGGATGTGTCCAACCGCGGAGCATATGGCGGCAGCCCCGACGTCGTCAATCAACACTGCTATCGCTCCGACGTGCCAATTTCCATCTCTATCCTGCAAATATTGATGATCGTCAAAACAGAGCATCGAATTAGACTACAGAGTTTGTTGAATTATCAAATTATGGTGAATTTGGAGAGAGAGAGAGAGAGAGAGAGAGATTGATGATTACTGAGAGGTGTCTTGGTATGATGAATTTACAGCGGACGAGACCTTTCTCGGCATGTTCGATCTGTATGCCTTCGAGAGTTAGGGCTTCGATCTCGTGACATAAACCGTTTGACATGTCTTCAAGCCATTTCTGAGCTTGCTGCGGACGATGATCTTCATCTTCCATTCTCAATCTCTCATGCTATGCAATGCTAACATTTGTCTCCTTATTACTTGGGGAACAAAAATGGCCGGTCAATTTTTTTTTTGCCCAAACTTTTATACATTATCATTTGTGATGCGACAATAATTATTATTTTTAAAATTAGAATTTTTTGAAGATTTTTATTACTTTTATTTTTTTTTAAAAAAAATAGACAAGACAACAACCTATTACATAAATTTTTTGGAGAAAGACTTTTCTCCGGTCTAAATTGAATTAGAAGATATTGTTAGACTTTCGTGCATTCATTACAAAACTCATATCGATAATTTAAATCATTCAATGTATAGAATTTGTCGAGTACTTTATTCCTACAACAAATCACATTAATCGGATCTTGATAACTATTTGATCAGATCACATTTACATAAATACCTAATCAACATCTAATAATTTATTTATATAAATGTGATCTGATCAAATGTTTATCAATATCTAATCAACATGATTTTTTACGAGAATGAAGAACTCGACGAGTCTTACATATTGAATAATTCGAATTAGCGAGCCCATAGAAGCTTAACAACACACTCCAATTGAGATACCCAATTAGAGAGAAGCGTCTTTCATTTTTTAATATGTAATTTTTATTTATATATTATTACTCTAAAAAAATATACAAAATATATAATACTTATTCATATTTTTTTGGGCCCACAAATTCCTAAAGCCCAGTTTGCTAACTTGACTTTTTATATATTATTACTCTAAAAAAATATACAAAATATATGATACTTATTCATATTTTTTTTGGGCCCACAAATTCCTAAAGTCCAGTTTGCTAACTTGACTTTTTAGTTACAATAATAAAAAAAAGTAAAAATAAAAATATATAAAAAACTAAGAAGTTGAAAAGTTACTTCAAAAAATTAAACATCTCCGTAATTCACGATTTTGAAACAACTAATAAATAATTTATAAGCACATTAAATTTTTTTTCACCTAAAAAAAATTCAAAAACTACCAAAGAAATCAATTTTCAAATAAGGCTTCAATCTAAGATCTAAAGACAAGCTGAAGGGTGCGACTATTTGACAAAGCAATGCACAAAATTGGAATGTTTGATTGTGTTTTCATTTTCAAGTTTTAATTTTTCAAAAGTTCAAAAATAATTTTTGCATCTCCTAGAAAATTAGGTTGGACGAAAATCTTGAAAACAATTTTGAAAATAATTCACTTAATTTCACTTTTATTCCTCTACTATCATAATTTTTTTTCTATTTCCTTCCTAACCTATCAATTTCATTAGTCTTTAAGTTTCTAATTCAGTTTATATGTGGTCCAATTAGAGACATTTGTATAAATTAAAAACCGTTGATAAAAATCCCTCCTCAAATTCAAAAACAAAACACAACCTCAAAAGACATCATATATTACAACATGTTCCCTATAGATAACACCATAATCATGAAAATAAAATGAAATGGGCTCATCTACTGAAATCAACAACTACTATCTTTTATCTAACAACAGTCGATGTACACATTTTAAAATTAATTATTCAATAAAAAAAAGATTTTTACCAGAAACGACTATTTATTGATACAATGACTATTTATTGCATACCAGAAACACACCTTCAAAATGGTAAGTAGGATCTCTGGCTTAATTTGGTAAAGACAATTCTAGGGCTTCTCAGCATGTTCCTGCAGATACCGAACGGGCCATCATGGCACCCGCAAAGGAAGAAGTAACGAAAACAAAAAAAACAGCTGTTGTACAGATTTATTTCTCAGCTCTAAGACTTTTGTATATCCTTCACTAGCAATTTGCAACCGAAAGAATTTTATTGTCCTTCAGCAGATAGTTTTTTCTTCAATTCTTTTTTATTCACCTGGAATTAGAAATAAAATTTACCCTGATGAGATAATTTTCACATAGCACCGAAACAGGAAATGGGAATAAAAGTGTCTTTTGAAAAACCAAATAGCAGAAGTAATTCACCTTTCCCATAGCATTACGAGGAAGTGTCTCCCACAGGAACAATCGAGTTGGTAGCTGGAAAGAATAGTGATATAACAAGATTATTCATTGATTAGAGTCAATGCTCCAGTGTCTTGAAGCAATTTGAAAATATAGTTCAAGTCAAAGTCAAATGCAAATGCTTAAAGACAGCCCATACAAGAAATTTTGAAAGTAACAACATTCAATATGATGCCCAAATACAGAAGCAAGATTTTTCTCTCCCTTTCACCCTCTTCACCAAAAATAAGCATAGTAACGAGCCTGACATTTGGCAAATTCTTATAGACAAGGGCACTGTTCAGAAACGCTGAAGACTGTATTGACACTTTGAAATGTGCATACCTAAAATATCAATATCAGATTCAACATTTTTTATCTTTTCCTTAGAGAGCATGATTTCATAGGTGTGCACAAGAGAGTGGAATTTTTGTAAAAGGGAAATATGACACAATCATGGTTTGAAGAAAACAAAAAAATATCAACAATATAAACCAACGTTGAAGGAAGAATGGATTCAAAGATTTTGACCATGGCTTTTTGGAACAAAGAAGATGGAGCTGTTTTGAAACCAAAGGGCATAATAGTCCAAGAGCTTGAACATGATGTAAATTAAGCCTAGAGCACCAAGACATTCTATCAAGCCTAAATGAATACAAAAGCAACATCAGTGTCTAAAATTGAATTTTCAGATGACTTCAATGGGGTTTTACGTTCAGAAATTCTTCTACCAGTATGCCTTGGAGTGTGAAAGCATGATTTCGTGTCTAATAGTTCTCTTTGTCGACCAATGATAAAAAACAGCTGACCAAAAATGCTAATTCCCAAATTTAAGCTAAGGGAAAGGAAGAAGCAGGGAGATGGGTACCGTGAGATACCTTATATGGTGCAAGTCTCTCTTTAGCCCAGGTGCAAAGTTCTTCCAAGCTTAGAGCAGGTTTCAACTCTCCCGCTTGTTTTTTCTTCATCTCTACCTCTGGTACAATTATTGCGCACACAGCCTCCCCATAGTCTTTGTCTGGTAAGCCGAACACACAACACTCTGAGACGGCTGAATGCTGCAGAAAAGGAGATTGTTTAAATGCTATTGTGATATTTAAAATTCAAATACTTTGTTCCCTTTTTAAAAGGATCCCTTTGAGGAGCAAACATAATGTGTTTATTAAAAGTAAAACAAAGGTCGTTTACATCATGACATTGCTTCAAGTAGAACAGCTGAGAAAAGGAAGACAAGCATTACCTCTAGAAGAACTGCTTCAATTTCTAATGCTGATAACTTGTATCCACCAACCTTCATAATATCAGCACTAGTACCTGAAAATAACATTTGCAAATTAAAATCACTACAATCAGCTTAGAGAGAGAGAGAGAGAGAGAGAGAGTTGAAACATTAAAATCTTTGTGCCATGCTATTCTAATGGTATAGACCTATTCACTACTAGCATTAAACTAGACCTCAAAAAAAAAAAAAAAAAAAACTACAATCAGGTCGTGCTCAGATAAGGAAATACAGTTTACACAAGAAGCACCAAATGAATGACGACAATGTTAAGCATACCAAAACAGACATCACTGAAATTACCTTTCATCAACTGTATCTTTTACACCTTTTTAAGCATGTACTATTTGTAAAAGAAATTGTGAAAGATTCACCACACGCGCACACACACACACACAAAAAAAACCATTTAGCAGGGATTGACAACACTCTCATAGATGATCACTATTCACTAGTTTTTGCCCCATATTTAACAGTTCAAGAGGCAATTAGAAGTGGTACTGAAATTGATCATGAAAAAGTTCTAACTTCACAGATTCAGAGCAAAGTATTTATCGATTGGCGGTGCTAATTTAATATCTAAGGGCTTCAAAATTTCAAAAATACAACAACCCCTTATTCCACGAGGCCGAGCATATCTCCATGATTCCATGCCAAAAGTTCATGGGCTGCAAATATTTGTGTCGTCACTTGGTAGCACTGACTCAGGAGTACATCACATGGCAGCACGTATATGGAGCACCCATAAACTACAAGCTTGCCAAGTACGTATTTAAATAAATAAATACATCACTAGCTACAAACATGCACATGGAAATCTAAGCATGCTTACGTCCCAAAATGATGTAGTATCCATCTTCATCCACTTTAACAGCATCTCCAGTCTTGAAAAATCCACCATCAACGAAGGATTCCTTAGTTACCTACAGATGATTGTATATTCCAGAATGAGAAATAGAAACTGAAATAATTTTATTGTTTGTAATATTTAATGCACGTTTAGCTTAAATTATATGGTTCAATGAAGTCACATTAGCATCAAAGAAGCTAAGAGGAGAAGAAAAAGACAAAGATGAAGATGAAGAGCAGTAAATTCAGGTCATCGCACTTTGGTAGTAATCATGCTTCAAGGTGCATATTCAGGATGGAAACTTGATAGGATGCACTATGTGAGAATAAATATGCTACAGCCTCTATCCAGGAGAAAATGAAGCAATACAATCCTCAAGAACACATGATATCTGTTCCTCTTGTAGCACACGTGGAGTGACATTGGAGAATGAAAAGGTAAATATGATCCATACAGAAAAAAGGAAAATTGTAATGTATAAAGTTTCCAAACACAGAAATATGCAACTACAAAATAAAATACACAAGGGGAGGAAGGTATACTGATGAGCTAGAAATCAAACCCCAAGGTAAATACGAAAGAGGAATATAGCAAAAAATAATACAAGTACCTCAGGAAGTTTCCAATATTCCTTAAACAATGACGGGCTTTTAATACAAAGCTCACCCACCCCTGTTGTATCATCACCACTCCCTTCTTCTGCAAGTATCTTGGCCTATGATAAACCCAGAAATGTTACTGTAATAAATAAATAAAAATCTTCCACCGTGGCACTCTAGATGCAATGGGCTCCCTCTAATGCTGTGTTTGGTTGGGAGATTTGAGAGGGATATGGAAAGGGAAGGGAAAAGGTAGGTAAAATGTGAATAAAATATACTTACATTTCATATAATTTCACATACTTTTTCTCTTTTTCTTTTCAAATTTCTTCTCTTTCCAAATCCTCCAACCAAACACAGCATAAATATCATTTCAGTTTAAAAAATTCTTCAAAAAAATAAGTTTGAAGAACCATCCACTAGAATTTACAATCATCAGTCTCCTTCAGATGGTGCTGATGATCTATAGTGAAGCTGTTTCTAATGTCGAATTCTATTATTATGAATCTCACTAACCTGCACACCTGGAAATGGTTTGCCAACAGTGCCTCCTTTCCTTATGCCTCTCAAGGGATTAGAAATTGCCATCACAAACTACAAATATCAATAATTAAAAAAACAAAGCCAGAATATCCCCAAATAAATAAAATTTTAAATGCCCTTCCCCTTGAAGCCTAGAGCCTGCGAAAAGGACTTCATGTAGACAGCTAATACACACCTCAGTCATACCATATCGTTCTAATAGGCGATGTTTAGTTATGGTTTCCCACTGTTGCATGACAGGATAAGGGAGTGCAGAGGAGCCACACATCTGGAATTAGGGGAAAAAACAATTAGGCAACTGTTTCAGCATTCACCATTCTGTTCAGGTATAGCCGTATAGGCGAACAAGAGAACAAGATTGTACGGAACAGTATTGCACAATAAAAGAGTTACAATTTTATATTAAAAAAATAATATTTAAAAGGGAAAAAAAAACCACTTAATATTAATCCTTAATTCCTATTTAAATTTTGTAATCAAAATTTCCCAAGAAAGAAGGTGTTGCAAGCTGATTACCATGAGACGCAACTTGCTCGCAGCTGAGGCAGAAGCCTCTTGTAATTCTGGATCCATTGCTTCATAACCTTGTATCAATCGAGTATACATAGTTGGAACCTACATATTACAAAAAGCATTGCGGGCCATAAATGCTTCACATTTTTTAAATAAAATATTACTTTGTCCCAAGTGTTCCCTAATGAGAAAAAACCAAATAAACAAAGTCCCCAAACTGGGCCATAGGTAGTGAGAAAATTGGCAAATATAAATGACAATCACTGAACCACACAGAACATAGTATTCTAATTCATGCCATAAAATACTCGACTTACTCCTGTAAACACAGTTATAGCATCATCCACCTTAGTCCCATCTTTCGGATATGATTCGCGCCATCTCTGCCAGATTGCCCTCACACTAAATTTTGGAATGAACTCAACCTTCAACAAATAAAACCGATCCGTAAGAATCAAAAGTGCTGCAACAGAACAGAACTTCAAATAAAAGGCAGGATTGTTTTAACATAAACAAGCAACCTAAATTGAAAGCCAACTTTGTGAAACAACTATGAACATGAAATAGAATGGATTACCGTGGAACCCGCATAGAGAGGGGCAAGTAAAGCATTGAAAAGCCCATGAACATGTACAGAGGGCAAGTTAAGGATCAATCCAACGTGAAATTGTTATAAAAAAGTTTTTCCAAAACATAGACCAAGAAACTGAATACAAATAATCAACCAGTATAATGTTGAAAAGTAAGAGTTTTATAGTAAAATAAATGTTATTTGTGGATATGATGTAATGGGAGACAGTGCAGAAATTGATCAGCAGATGTATACTTCCAAGCGTCTGTCAAGATTTGGGCCTGACATTGAGACAAATACAGCAGCAGTTAGCCCCAGAATCAACTGTTAGGTAAGAACAGTCAAATTAAGAAGGAAAACAGGTTGCAGAATTCAATAGTGAATAGCTCCAATGTGTTGACACCATCTTGCATATTTATACTGAGAGTTGACTGACAACATGCACCATGTGATACTAAAATTAAAGGCAGTATGGTAAATACAAATTGAAATGACTGGTCAAACAAGTTAGTACTTCTGCTTTCTGAAGAACATTCACTGTTGAGATCACAGGAAAACATAAATATCCATGAGAGTAGTGGTAGAGACAAAATGTTTCTCCTTTTCCTTGCACTATAAAAGGAAAATAAATCATTAAATACATGGAAGTCAAAAGCTTGATGTGTGACATGTATTTACTATACTAATGTTAATACAATCTCACATCTAACTTACACATCATCGTGAGGAAAATTGATTTGATGCTGCAGTCAGAGTTCATGAAACCACCCTTCCCACCTTATTTCTTATGCTAAGATACCCCATAGTTGTTTTTAACATATTGTTAAAATCCACCTACTCTCCACCTACTTCACCCACTTAAACCTACTCCACTAAACCTAACCCACTACACCACTACCACCTCCACTTCACCTACTCCTTACCTACTACACACTCACCCTCTTCTATATATAGGAATCATGAATCATTGTAATATAGATCAATACATCAATCAATAATACATACAATTTATCTCTATCAATATATTTTACATGGTATCAGAGCCATAAGATTTAGGCCTATATTCCTTTCTTTCCGGCGGGCAGCCGGCCGGCAACCATGCCTTCGCTGCCCGCTGGAGTTTTTCAACACCTCGCCCAAGCAAAACCAAAAAAACAAAACAAAGATATACATACATGGTCTCTCTCTCTCTCCATCTGCAGCAATGGAGAAAGGGCAAACCTCCTCCATCTTCTTCTTATCAGCAGCAGGGAGCTTCTCACCAATCTTCTCATCCTTGACTGTATTTCTCACGTTGTATGTTCACGTCCTCCACCGCAGCACTCCTGAACATCCCAACATCCACCGCACCAGACACCATATGATACCCTCTCCGCCGCCGGCATCTTCGCCTCCACCACCCGTAGCGCCAGTCGCTTCTCCGCCTCCGCCCTCGAGGCGATGGCTGACCAGTCCTCTCTCCCTCCTCAATAACCAAAAAAAAAACCAGTCACAAACTTGTCGCCTTTCTTTATCACCCATATCTTCGACCCAATACAACGATCAATTAGCTCAGATGGGAGGAGCTGAGAAGGATTGTTCGCGGACATGTCTTCTTCTTCTTCTTTACAGTCGGTTGGTGAGCCTGTGCTCTCTCTCGCACTCAATTTCTTTCTTATGTTCTCAAGGAGTCGAGGACCAATTACAGGACCATACAGTACTAAACCCTAGTTATTAGGGCTGGAAAAAGCACATGACAGCATCACTGTTTTTTTTTTGTTTTCTTTTTATTGCACATGACAGCATCGCCCCAACATCCTCCACTTTACTACTTTGTTTCTTTCTTTTTAATTTATTTATTATTTTTTTTTTTATCTCTTCTTTTCAAAAAGCATCGCCCCCAACATCCTCCACTTTACTACTTTGTTTCTTTATTTTTTTATTTATTTATTATTATTTTTTTTTATCTCTTCTTTTCAAAACAAAAAAAAAAACAAAACAAAAAACACCCACACCATTTTGCACACACCATATTTTATTCATCTCCGGGCTCAATCCCGATCCACAATTTCTTCACACGAAAAAAAAAAAAACAAAACAAAACAAAACAAAAAAAAAACAAAACAAAACAAAACAAAAAAAAAAACAAACAAAAAAAAAAAAAAAAAAAAAAAAAACAAAACACCGACCTCATTTCTTCTCTACTCTGCCGCCGGTCTCTTCTTCTTGCCTCCGTCCTGGGCGGCCCTTGCCGGTGCTGCCTCCGTGTTTCCTACGCCGCCGAGCACGTTCACTCTCCCATACTCCTCCACTGCAGCATATGGCGTACCTCCAAATCGGAACATAACAGTGGCCTTCCGCTTCAGCTCCTTGTTTTCTGCATTTAGCACACTTATCTCTGCTCGCGCATCCTTATACATGCGTTGGAGCAGAGCCAGCTGGGAATTTAACTGTTGCACCTCATTTGTCCTGCTCTGCAGCCGGTGCGACAAGTTTGTGACCGCCCTAACCCACTACACCACTACCACCTCACCTACTCCACTAAACCTAACCCACTACACCACTACCACCTCACCTACTCCACTAAACCTAACCCACTACACCACTACCACCTCACCTACTCCACTAAACCTAACCCACTACACCACTACCACCTCACCTACTCCACTAAACCTAACCCACTACACCACTACCACCTCACCTACTCCACTAAACCTAACCCACTACACCACTACCACCTCACCTACTCCACTAAACCTAACCCACTACACCACTACCACCTCACCTACTCCACTAAACCTAACCCACTACACCACTACCACCTCACCTACTCCACTAAACCTAACCCACTACACCACTACCACCTCACCTACTCCACTAAACCTAACCCACTACACCACTACCACCTCACCTACTCCACTAAACCTAACCCACTACACCACTACCACCTCACCTACTCCACTAAACCTAACCCACTACACCACTACCACCTCACCTACTCCACTAAACCTAACCCACTACACCACTACCACCTCACCTACTCCACTAAACCTAACCCACTACACCACTACCACCTCACCTACTCCACTAAACCTAACCCACTACACCACTACCACCTCACCTACTCCACTAAACCTAACCCACTACACCACTACCACCTCACCTACTCCACTAAACCTAACCCACTACACCACTACCACCTCACCTACTCCACTAAACCTAACCCACTACACCACTACCACCTCACCTACTCCACTAAACCTAACCCACTACACCACTACCACCTCACCTACTCCACTAAACCTAACCCACTACACCACTACCACCTCACCTACTCCACTAAACCTAACCCACTACACCACTACCACCTCACCTACTCCACTAAACCTAACCCACTACACCACTACCACCTCACCTACTCCACTAAACCTAACCCACTACACCACTACCACCTCACCTACTCCACTAAACCTAACCCACTACACCACTACCACCTCACCTACTCCACTAAACCTAACCCACTACACCACTACCACCTCACCTACTCCACTAAACCTAACCCACTACACCACTACCACCTCACCTACTCCACTAAACCTAACCCACTACACCACTACCACCTCACCTACTCCACTAAACCTAACCCACTACACCACTACCACCTCACCTACTCCACTAAACCTAACCCACTACACCACTACCACCTCACCTACTCCACTAAACCTTCCCCCACTTAAACCTACTCCACTAAACCTAACCCACTACACCACTACCACCTCCACTTCACCTACTCCTTACCTACTACACACTCACCCTCTTCTATATATAGGAATCATGAATCATTGTAATATAGATCAATACATCAATCAATAATACATACAATTTATCTCTATCAATATATATTTTACACATATCAAACCTCCCCTACAATAATAACCTCCCTTTGTGTCTATCCCTAAAGACAAATCACATTAATTCCCAAAAACAGAAAACTATATAAATCAAATATGCTGCACTCTAGTTTTTTAGCTCAGAAAATTAAGTAAGAAAAAGAGTGAAGGAAATAAATTTTAATTAGACATCGTGCCTCATTTATACTCACCTCTCTAGCAAACCATGAAATGTTGCCATTGTTCCCAAGGTAAAATTTCAAGGAATTCCAAAGCATGCCAGTATTACTCAACCCAACAACATGCTAATTACTTTCCATTTGAACTTTTTGCAGAAGAATGCAATATTAAAGTGCTAAGGTTTTTTATGCTTATGGTGTTTAGACAAGTACCTGCGCTAAGATGCCTCGGTGTGTGTGAACAACTCCTTTAGGTTTACCTGTAGTACCACTAGTGTAGATAATCAGTGCAGGGTCCTCTCCTGCACACAAAACCAAATAGTACGAACAATGATGTCACTAAAGCTCCATGTATCACAACCATAAGACAAATTGATAAAAAGCCTCAAAGTCAGCCACCTTGTATACTGTTTGAATTGTCAACCCCCTCCAAACTTTTACCCGCATCAATTTCTCCAGTTTCTGACTTACTATGTACAGGAGGAATAAGAGAAAACTGAGCAGCGCTTTTAGCTGCGACATTTTGCATAAGCTCAGAATGCTCTTCTGTGCTCAAAATCATGGAGACATCCTAAGAAAGAAATTGACATAAGAGTTCTTCACAAATATTGGACAAGCAAACAAGACGCAATCACAACAATATAATGTTGTATGCCTAAAAAACATAAAATTATTTTGATTTCAAGGTGACATAAGTTTATAAAATGGCCACAACCGTTTACAGTGAAGTTTGCAAGCTATGAGGGAGCTGGATCACAACGAAATTGTAGGGAACAATAAATCAACTATGCATAGAGAACAATAAATGATGTATAGAGGACAATATATGATGCATGATGGATCTTATCCATTTGTACAACCAAATAGAGTGATCAGAAATAAGAAAACAGAGAACATCCAAAGACAAACCGAGTCATTCATCACGTGCAAGAGCTCAGCTTCTGGGTAGCTGAGAGCAAGTGGAACTGCGACACCTCCACTAAACCAAGTCCCTAGTATTCCAGCAACAAACTCAGCAGAAGGTTTTGCCACAATTCCTATTCGAGCTCCAGCAAGATGGTCATTCCCTCTGGTGCCATCAACCTACAAGGAGGGGGAAAAAAAATCATTTTTGCTGCCATCATTGATCTGATGAGAAACTTGTACGCACATTTCAGGCATGTAAAGAGGACATGCAGCTTCATCGACCCAAAGGTTAAGGAATATGTCATATTTAACTCACAGTTTTTTGGTCACCATTGCATAATAGCCTTGATATCCTCCAAGCAGACTGCATCAGTTGAGAATAAGTATAGCTCTTCTGATCAGCCCTTATAGCAACACTTTCACAAGACACAGAACCCTGTCTAGAAACTGCTTTGACCACCTCCATGAATGTCTTATGGTCCAAAGCTGTTTGAAAAGAAAGAAAAAAAAAAAAATTCAAAACATAATCAAAGAATATTTTATCAGATATCTCCATGAATTCAAGCGGTAGTAAAAACGAAAAAAAAAAAAATGCTTTAAAAAGTGGAGTTACAGATTAGCTAATAAGGAGGTCAAAAAAGTAGTGAGAGAGACTAAGTTGAAAGCCTATGATGACCTGTACACTAAACTAGATAGTAAGGAGGGAGAGAAGAGGATTTACAAACTCGCTAAGATAAGAGAGAAGAGAACAAGAGATTTTAATTAGGTTAAGTGTATCAAGAGTGAGGACTCTAAGGTGTTAGTGAAGGATGAAAAGATTAAGAAGAGGTGGAAAAACTATTTTAAAAAGTTGTTAAATGAAGAACGTGGAAATAGGTCAAAAGGGAAGGAAGTAGGCAGTATACATAGTTAATAAGAAAAACTTAATAAGAAAAACTAGGACTACAGGTTCTATCGTAGGATTAGGAACTTTGAAGTGGAGATTGTACTTAAGAAGATGAAATCCAATAAGGTTTTAGGAATTGATGATATCCCTATTGAAGCTTGGAAATGTTTGGATAAAAAGGGGGTTGTTTAGTTGACTAAGTTATTTAATAAGATTTTGTTGACTAGGAAAATGCCAAAGGAGTAGAGGAAGAGTATTTTAGTGCCAAACTATAAGAATAAAGGAGATGTCCAAAATTACAACAACTATAGAGGAATCAAGTTAATGTGTCATATAATGAAAGTGTGGGAGAGAGTGATGGAACTTCGATTGCGAAATATAGCAGAGGTATCAAAGAATCAATTTGGGTTTATGCTTGGTAGGTCAACAATAGAAGTGATCTATCTTTTGAAGCGTAATAGAAAAGTATAGAGAAAAGAAAAGAGACATTCATATGATTTTATCGATCTTGAGAAAGCATATAATCGAGTGTCTCAGGATATAATCTGGTGAGTGTTAGAGAAGAAAGGGGTGACAAAATGTTACATTAATGTGATAAGGGATATGTATGAAGGTGCGGTGACCACTATTAAATCGTCTACTGGAGAGACAAATGAATTTTCAATTACTGTAGGGTTACACTAAGGATCAACCTTAAGTCCTTATCTTTTTGCTTTAATTATGGATGAGTTGACGAGAAATATTCAGGATGATGTGCCATTATAGGTACTTTCTGCAAACGATATCGCGTTAGTGGATGAGACTAGAGAAGGAGTTAACACTAAATTGGAGACGTAAAGAAACGTACTTGAATCTAGAGGTTTATGATAAGCAGAATTAAAACAGAGTACATGAAGTGTAATTTTATTAACAATAACAATGAAAGTAGAGGAGAAGTGAAGATTGAAAACTAAGAACTACCTAAAAGTGAACAATTTCATTATCACAACGGCTGGGGAGATTGGAGTGGATGTGGTTCATAGAATTAAGGTAGGATGGCTTAAGTGACGGGGTGTGTCTAGGGTACTATGCGATAAACGAGTACCAACTAGACTAAAATAGAAGTTCTATAGAACAGCTATTAGACCAACGATATTGTATGGGTCGGAATGTTAGGCTACTAAGAAACAATATATAAATAAGACGAGTGTTACTGAGACGAGGATGCTAAAGTGGATGTGGGACAAGACTAGAAAATATTGAGTTAGGAATAAGTATATTCGAGAATGGGTAGGTGTAGTACCTATAGAAGATAAGTTGACAGAGAATAGATTGAGATGGTTTAATCATATATAACAGAAACCAACAGAGACAGTAGTGAAGAGATGTAATATAGTGACAGTAAATGAAAATATTAGGGGCATGGGTAGACCTAAATTGATGTGAACTAGTGTAGTAAATAGAAATATAAACCTCCTTAATTTGACTAACTGTTAGAATTTACCTACACCTACCACCACCTACTACCACACCTACTACACCTACCACCAATTTACCCTCACCTACTCCTCACCTACTACCCAAACCCTCTCCTATATAATGAGCTACTCTGCTTTGTAATATTATACATCAATGTATCAATCAAACAATACATCAATCAATAATATATCAATTTCAACACTAACAAAATGGCCTTGGATAGAGTCAAGTGGAGAAGAAGGATTCATATAACCGACCCCATTTGATGGGACTTAAGGCTTGGTTTGGTTTAATTTGGTTTGGTTAGGTTATATCTCCCTGAATTCACTACCTAAGTTTTCCAAGCTACTTATATTAGTATGCATGGCCATCCCATGAAAACTAACCCTTTATTTGGAAGAGTCTTGAAAATGTAATTCTACCTCTTGATTTGTACGTGGTGTTTGGTTACAGTTTTTAAAAATTAATTTCACATCTACTTTTGAAAACTCTTTTCAAGGCGGGAAAATTTGGGCTAACCAATCGTCCCTCCGGACGTCCGACCGGTTGTTCCCCCGGGCGTCTGGCCGGTTAACTGAAACAGTGCAATTTTATTTTATTTTTTTGAACAATTGGCACCTGTTATTTATTATATTTTAAATAAAAAAATTCAGAATTTTTTAAAAAATTTTATGAATTTTGAATAGAATTTTGAGTTGTGTGTTTGGTTATGAGTTATTAGTTTTTGTATCAAATATCATATGTCACATCAAAAATTTCTCACTCAATTCAAAACTCATTTACCAAACAAATTTTCCACACTTAAATCATAATTCCAAAACTCATAAACTTAAAATACAACTCTTATTCTCAAATCATATTTAGAAAACTCTACCAAATGCTACCTAAGTACCTCTATGCTGCTATATTACATTTCTAGGTAATCTATGTAGCAAAGGTTCAAAATGGACTGTTTTAGAAACGGGGACAATGGATCAGTTTATAGATTTCATGAAATGGACATTTTTGCTACATCTTACAGCGATTCACCATTTCTGAGATCAAACAATCACCAATGACATATTGAAAACCTTTAAGGGCTTGGTAAAACAGAACACAAGCACAAATCAGGATAAAAGCCACGTATGTTCCAAAGAAGCGGTACCGTAATTCCAATTCCACTATTTGGGCTACATTCTAAACAAGTAAATTTAGAACTAATTTGAATTCCCCAGACAGCAAAGTCCCTATCACACACCAAGACTCACTAATTTCACATAATATGAGTTGCAATTTAATCTGATTCTGCAGAGGCACCCACAAGCAGCCTCAGAGTTCATTCCTAGTTTCAACACTTGGTAACACAATGGGAATTTCAATTCAAATCAAATCAAATTTAGCACAACCTTAGTATTTCAAATAATACTTAACACACCACATAAATCATTCACTTTTCCCTTCCTTTTTTTTCTTTCCCTCTACAAATCCCTCATCAAATCCTTGATCCAAACACACAGCCTAAAGGAACGAAAAAAGAAAGCCCAAAAGATATAAAAAATGGTCAACAGTAAGAGCATCCCCAATCCTTACTCTATCTTTTTCATCAAATTTGAGATAAAAATTGGTTAAAAGCTTGATCTGCCATAAAACACTACAATCTCACTCTTTTTTTTCACCAAACATTTTTGAAAAATTCCACAACTTATCCTATTTAACCATTTTTTTTTTAATGAAAGAAAACTATCTCCCATGCTTACTCTTTCTAAACATTTGGTGAACCATTTAGTTCATCCTCAATTTGGTGAAAAAAAATGCCTATTCCTTGATTTAATACAGATTTAATGAAATGGTTGGAGCACACTTTTAGCCACTACTTCATCAAATTTGAATTTGATGAATCCTTCACCTTTTCTTTAAATTTGATGAAAAAGTGCTAAAAAATTATCTCCAATCCTTTCATCAAATGTTAATCAAATAAAGGGAGAGTTATTTTTTTCCATCAAATTGAAAACTCATCAAATCCGTATTTGATGAAAATTTAAAAAGATGAAACATTGGAGATGATGTTTTCATCAAAATTTGATGAAAAGAAGTTTGTATCGAATCAAACTTTTTATTCAAATTTGGAATCAAATTAAATGGGGGGGGGGGGGGGGGGAAGTCTCATATGAAAAAAAAGATAGTGAAGAGTTGGAGATGCTCTAAACTAATCACAGATACACAAACAAAGCATCCTCCATCAAGAAAAACATCAATCCCCAAGTAATATGTCTAAACAACACCGCATCCCTAGCTACAAACATATACAAATTGACATTTGAAATTAAAATGAAGATTACAGAGAGAGAGAGAGAGAGAGAGAGAGCGCTTACTGGAAAAGCGAGGAGAGTGAGAGAAGAAAAAGCCAGGGCAGAAGAGAGAGAGAGAACAGAGGGGTCCGAAGCGAGAAGTGTAGAGAGGTCTGAGTTGGTTGAAGGCTTTAAATGGTCTCATGTGTCTGTTTTTTCGGTGGTCGCGACACTTATTTATTGCCAACCAAATCTTGTTTTTTCAATTCATTTCAGTGATGGGTTGGTTGGTTAGGCAATTTTGTTTTCTGAATTGAATTGCAGTGAAGCGAAGAGGGAAAAAGGTCAACCATATCTGCGAGCGCGAGAGAGGATCACAAAATAGGCGAAAGGGAGAGTTGAGCGGGCTTTCCTCACTCCGATTCCAATGCCAGTTTGTGAAGTTAGGATTTTAATCCAAAAGTTAAGGGATTGTTTTTAATTTTTAGGAAAAGATATTACATATTATTTTAGCACATTATTTTATTTAGATTATAATTATCTTATTTAAATTACATTATTTTTTTATCATATTATTTTAAATTCAACTCATATTTCATATTTTTTTTATAAAAAATTAAAAAGTATATTAATCTACCACTTCTCAAACAATCTTTTAGGCAGAGAAGTAATATAATTTAAATAAGTTATGTGATTTAAATAAGATAAAATTATAAAAAAGATATATTGTTCTAACATATTTAATATCCCTTAACTTTTGGTTGGAGGTCTGATTGTTTTTTGATTTATTAATATTTTTTATAAAAAAATATGTAAAAAAAAATTATGATAACTTATAACAAATAAGTTACTTATTTAGGTAGTTTCCAACTCATATTTCATTGTTTTTCGTAAAAAATTAAAAAATATATTAATTTATCACTTTCCAAACAATCCCTTAGGTAGAGAGAAGATATAATTTATAAATGTTATGTGACTTAAATAAGATAAAATTATACAAATGATATACTATTTTAATATCTCTTAACTTTTGGTTCAAGTTCTGATTATTTTTTGATTTATTAATTTTTTTATAAAAAGATATGAAAAAAAATTAAAAAAATAATATGATAATTTATAACAAATAAGTTACTTATTTAGGTAGTTCTCAAACCAAGTCTACAAGGTATCAAATTATCATTATTTTTTTATAATAAGTTAAAAGTCTAAAAATAGTTAATTTCTAAACACTTCCAGAGTATTGCGAGGGTCAAGGTTAATTAAGTTTGGAAAATTAAGTTATATTAGACTATTTGGTATAGTTTATCTAAGTTGTTTTAATGTTTTAATATTTCAATAGTCTCTGACAAATTTTTTAGTACATTTTTTATTTATAATTTATTAGATAAAAATAATTTTAATAAACTGGTAAAAAAATTAATTTCTAAAATTAGGTGAGAGGTGCTTTTAAGTTTTACTAATAATATGTACTAGTTTATGTACATGACACTTCAAGACTAATTATATGATATAATATACGCTAACCACATGATTAGTCATTACTTACACTTAATTGCCTAATTTTTTTATAATAAATATAAAAATAAGTTATTAATCGCATCCTAACAAGCTTTTCAAACACTCGTCTCATTTGTCATCTTTTGTTTATCTTGTATTTATTTCATAAAAAAATATCTCTCCCTTATGAGAAATATTATTTGTCATCAAATTTATATAATTTCGTTTATGTATCTATAATGCAATAAAAACTAAAGAAAATTGGCAATAAAATTCAATTTATGCTTTGCAAGAAGCGTTGGGTCCATTGGAACTTTTTTTTTTTTTTTTTTTTTATTTTGTTATTTTGTAAGATATTTTATTTTAAGTTTTTCCCTTTTCTATTTGTTCAATTATTTTTTATCTGTTCAAATTTTTTTAAACCTTATCTGTTGAAATTTTTATTTTATCAGTGTGAAATTTTATTTGTTGAAATTTTAAGCGCATGAAATCTATCTAGTGAAATATTTGTGTGAAATACTATATGTTAAAATTTTGTCTGTGTAAAATCTCTATTTGTTGAAATTCACAAAGCTTTTGTTCAAAAAAAAAAAATTCACAAAGCTTGTTTTTATTATTTGTTTAAATTTCCCACCACCAACGCTCAAATATAATCCAAGGCACTTGCGTGCATAGATATATATCTGTTCAATTTTTTATTTTATTTTTTTATCTATTCCATTTAATTTTTTATCTGTTCAATTGCAATTTTACAAACTGTTTTTCACTCTTCTCTCTCTCTCCTCTCACATTCTCTCTTCTAGGGTTTATCTATTGAAAAAACAGCACAGCTTGGAGGAGAGAGTTTTTTGAAATGGAGGATGATCGACGATGACTCACTGTCGCACTCCACCGGGGAACATAAGACCCAAATCAGAGGCCTTTGCTGACTCATGGATTTCAGAAGCCTTCACTCGAGACACCAAAACCCTAACCAAAGCCCTTCAGCAATCTCTGTCCAACTACTCTTCCTTCGATCTCAGAATCATCTCTCCCTTCTTCAATCTCATCAAGTCTGAAACAACGATTTCTGCGACAGTGGTGCTGGCTCAGAGCAGTGGTTCTAGATCGGATCTGAAGAAGGCGGCAACGACGAAGCTGCAGAACTCAATTTCAGTCATCGAGAAACCAACGAAAAGGAAATCGCAGGCATTGAAGAAGAACATCAGACCGACTGAGTGTGGAGTCGACGAAGTTGAAACGACGCATTGCAGTGGTGTGATGAAAAATCTCAGGAAGAGAATTGAGGGGTTTGGGGCCGGTGATAGAGAGAGATAGATAGAGGTCACCGGCGGAGGTGCATAGCGCAAAAGCAGGGGGCGGAGACGCAACGTTGCTGCCGTTGAGCCCTAGGATCGGGAATGAAGAGAGAGAAGAGGAGAGAGAGAAAGAGATAAATATGTTTTGGGAAATTGATTTGAACAGATAGTGTTGGCATATTTTATATGTAGAGTGAGTAATTTGGGATTCTGCGAGAGCTCGCCTTTATGGAATTAATATAGAGCAAATTACAAACACCTCCTTGGTGAAGATACAGATTCCTCCCTAAGGTTTGAGAAATTACATCTCTCCCCCTGAAGTTTATATTTTCATAATAAATTGTTCCCTGAAGTTTTTAACCTTTAGGGGGCAATTTGTAATTTCTCAAACCTCATGGGGAAATTTGTATTTTAACCAAACCTCGAGGGGTGTTTGTAATTTGCCCATTAATATATTAGCGCGTCGATTTTGGACCAGGAAAATTTAAGTGGTTTTTTGGGATGTCCTATATAAGTGTACTTTTTGTCTTTTTAGATTAAAAAATTGAGGAAGAAAATATAGATGTTTAAGTTAATTTTTTGATTTTTTATGAAAAAATGTGTAATAAAAAAATTATAAAAATTGGTTTGTAAGGGAAAATTAAGATTGGGAATTGTGCAGTCGTAATTGTTGACTTTTGGTGAATAGTGTTAACTTTTAAACTTTTTAAGTAATTTTTTGACTTTTTGACTTTTCTTGGACATGCCACACTTGGCCTAAATTTAAATTTATCACCTGAACCCTTAAAAACCAGTGAAATCCACCATGCTATGTAAGAAGACACATAAAAGATAAATGTTTTGATAAAAAATTGGTGATAGGTAACATATAATCTTATTTTGAGGTGATAACATATGAATAATGTTCAGTTACTTGTTTTCGAATAAATAAATAATGTTTGGGCCTGTATTTTTAAATTTCAGTCATATGTTCAAGAGTTCAATTTCGAAAAAATGACAAACATATTTTATTATTTTTTCATTTTTTTCAAGAAACTTATCCTTACAAGATTAATCTCCTCTAAGTTAAGAACAACATCAAAGTTATGAACCTCTTCTAAACTTTTATTGTTATACTCCTCTCTTCTTATGGAGTGTTAGTTGCCAGAAAAACTTTCACTCATTGTCATTGTCGAAGAAGTATAGGTAATCAAATAGTCGTCACCGTTACCGCCGGAATATTGTCGCCAAAGAGTTTTCAAAGTTTTGGAGGTGGGTAGGTTTTGAAGGTGGAATTTGAAGAAGATAGATGGGTGGTGATGGAGGTAGGTGCTCTTATATGATAAACCTAATTCATTGTGTAGTGGGTGTGTAGATTTAATTTTGGGATGAAATATTCCAAAATTAATGATGTCCTTTGTAGTAATTTTATTTGAGATTATTATTGTAATAATAAATATAAAAAAAAAATTAAAAATTGGGGATTCTAAAATAATTTATGGAGTGTTAATAACAGCACTCTTTTTTTATTATGGGTAGATTACACTGACACCCCTTGAGATCTGGTCTAATTACATCCTATTCCCTAACATTCTGGAAATTATAATCTCACTTCTGTAGTTAATAGTCTCATTTCACAAACTTCCACACTTATATAAAAAGTAACAACTCCTAGTAAAAAAATGAAAGAAATTACATTAAAAAAAAAGTAAAGGAAAGGAAAGGATGGAAAAAAAAAAAAAAGAGAAAGTAAAACAACGCAAGAAAAGAGATAGTACATGAGTTCAATGTTTTCATTCTGTCTAAATAATTACAATGACAAGAGAATTAGTATAATTTTCCAAATGTCAAGAAGTGATATGTATTAAATTTGAATTGTAGAAAGTGTAAATATAATTTACCTTTTTATTATTTTGAGACTTAATTTTATTATTGAAATAGAAGCCCTTTATCACTATTATATATGGACTTCATATGTTAAATTATTAATTTTTTTATAATTATGTGTTCAAATTAATTTGCGCAAATTGATGGGACGATGACAATCAATTTGGAAGCGTGGCAGAGAATTGATGCTTCGTTCATTTTCAAAGATGCATCCTTTGCTTTGCTTTTGAGTACCCTTTTGCCCTAACTCTATGAACTCCTTTTATCACCGTTCATGGTGTGCTCGAGGAGGTCTCAAAGGCTCGTGCACATTTGCAGAGTAGGCAGACAAAAGTTATCCCATGTGTGCTTCTTGGAAATTACACTTGTACCGTACAAATTCAAACTCTTAGCAAGAAGACAAAACCCATTTCCAAACACTCATCAATTTGCCGTCGTTGAGACAACTCACATCATTAATTTTATTTAGTTTAATTCAACACGAAATTCTCTGATGTAAAATTTGTCTTTTTGTCTTAAGATTAGTTTGATAAATATGTATATTTATTTTTATAAGATAAAATTATTGCTAAAAAGTTGATGTGTTTGACAAATGTTAAAATATTACTTTTTGTTATTGAAAAAGTTCAAGTATGATTTGGATTTTTTTGTTTGAATTTTTCACTTTCTTAGATCCTTGAAGGACTAGAAAGTATAAAAACAAATAAATAATAATAATAATAATAAATTTTAAAATTTTATTAAAGACAAAAAAATTTAAAGAGTTTTTTAACATTTGTCAAACAAATTGGGCTTTATTAAAAATTTGATTTTTCCCCCTTTTATCACCTAAATCCGCTAAAACCAAACAACCAAAATTAGTTTTGTTTAAAAAGCCTAAAAGTTGTTTTTTTAGCAAAAACCCAACAGTGCCCATTGCACTTTCAACATTTTCATAATTCAAAATTTTATCATATTATACAATTGAAAGTACATTGAAGATAAAAGACCAGAGAAGATCTTGGTAATCCACGAAGTCCCTGCTCACTTCTATATATAAGGTTTGTCTCTATTAATTGCTGATCAAAATTGTTCCTTAATCACTAGTGTGGTGTTGCATTCACATTCTTAATCTTTATTGTTTACTGTAAATTGATAGCCATGTACCTGCTTTTGTAGCTTAATTAATGCTATTGGCCATGGCAGGCGACCTGCCCATTATACCAAAGAGCCATTTAGCCCATTTAAGTGGAGGAGTACAAGCATATCTTCAATTATTTTATGCCATTTACTCTAATTTTACTTTCACATATATTCATATAATAGAGAGGTAAAAATTGTTATTGAAAGAGTCTTTCATGAGAACACCTGATCTCAAAAACTAATTATTGAGGTGAGACGTGTTCACTTGGCACATTTAACCTCAAAAGCTAACTATTGAGACAAGACATGTTCATTCTACACCTACCGTACGCTAGTTAGAGACACTCTTAATCTAGCCTCTTGTACGGAAACTTAACCTCAAAAACTAATTGTTGAGAGGTAAGGTGTGCTCACTTTTGGCATCTACTGTGTGCAAATCAGAAACACACACTACTCGCTAGTTAGAGACACTCTTAATCTAGCCTCTTGTACGGAAACTTAACCTCAAAAACTAATTGTTGAGAGGTAAGGTGTGCTCACTTTTGGCATCTACTGTGTGCAAAACAGAAACACACACTACTCGTTCGAAGTATTTAGGCTTTGCAAAAGCTAACTATTGAGACAAGACATGTTCATCCTACACCTACCGTACGCTAGGTAGAGACACTCTTAATCTAGCCTCTTGTACGGAAACTTAACCTCAAAAACTAATTGTTGAGAGGTAAGGTGTGCTCACTTTTGGCATCTACTGTGTGCAAAACAGAAACACACACTACTCGTTCGAAGTATTTAGGCTTTGATATCATGTTATACGACTTTTGGATATATCTCAATTTTATAAACTAGTTATTGATGTTTATATATTACAAATTACTTTTGTACTCAACTGATATAGGATAGGTAACAGATCAATATTCTTAATTTGAGTGAACAGAAACTTTAAAACCCGAACACCAGACATGAAAAAGGTGTTTCTTCAAAAAAGAACATGAGAAAGGTGGACTAGGTAAAGACGAGGAACTAAAGAAAGTTGCTACGGGAGAGAGAATCAATTCAGACAACTTGGATCAGAAATTTCAAGCTTATAATCAGGAAATAATGTTTTAAACATGATATGTGTGACACTAATGTACAATCAATCAGTACATTAATTTTAAGAGGACAACCAAAACATAGCAAAATGTTTTATCCAAAAATATTTTCTGATGAAAAATGTTTCCGTTGAAACAAACTGAGAATAACTGATAATTTGCTCTTTGCTTGAAACCAAATTTCTGGATGTTATGGAGATGTATTCAATATAATGATAAGAATGGGTTGATGCAATTATAGAAGACAATCATTCAGCAAGAAAACCTAAATATAAACATTTTTCTGTCAATGATCCAAGCACCATCTAATCAAATTCCTCCTCGCTGGTTTACCAAAAAAGCTTACATTCACACTATAGAATTCGAAATTTGAGAATAGTTTTTCCGATCATCTATATAACTGACGGTTCCTGTCCAAGAAAATCTTTGAACATACTCCGGAAACCATCATGAAATTCACTTTTGAGCAGGCTCTTTGAGTGCTTGGAGGTTCATCATCCTCAGTCTAGGTCTGCCCCGCTTGGAAATCAATTTTCTACATTTTAAATATCCGCTTCCTCTCATGAATTCATTTCCTGCTTCAGGTATGCTAAAATCAGCCGGGTTTCTGTTAACAGAGCATATTTCAGTTCCAGCCATCTTGTCCGCCTCACCATTGCTAATTGGGCCATCAATCAAATGAGACTTCAAAGGAAGCATCATTGAGTTTGAAGGAGACAAAAACCCTACCCGCAAACCATCGATGGGAAAAGATTCACGGGTTTTGCCCAAACCTCCACTTCCAGAGCCAGACATGTGTGATATCCTTGAGCTCATCCCAGCATCCATGAGTTTCAGCAATTGTGTCGCTGGCATGGTTTCATTTGTATATAAATCAGAAGGACTGATGACTGGGTGTGGGAAATTTCCGATCTTTTTCTGTGTGCATGCACATGGCTGCTCTGCATTCATCTTCTTAAATCTCTCGAAATCAAAGTTTCTATTCAGACTTTGTGACAAGTTTGCAAACTTCTGAGAGCTTTCAATTCCTAAAGGATCATCTGCTACATTAGGCAAAGAAACATGTCGTGCTCCTCTAATTTGCGTCGGACCAGAAACAATTCGATGAATAGGATGTGATGATGAACACTGCAAAAAAGAAATAGGCCATCCATGCCCCAACATATCACCCTCCAATCTGCAACTTTGAACACTAATATTCTTACCAGTGCTAGCTTCAGCAAATTGGTTTCCACTTGAATGGTTCACTGAAGAGACTGAAAATGGAAATGAACCCTTGTCATGAGATTGTTTCAGGTGTTTTATTTTGGAACCAATGCTTTTGCGGGGTTTCTTAAGATGAGAAGAATAGGCTATTGTTTCTTCTACAGGTTCAACTGCAACACTCTTAGCTGCAGCAGATATGCCACCTCGTGCATTGCTGGATTGAGGTTTATGCATTTCTAAGTTTTTCTCCCATAAATATCTTGAGTTATCTTCATGAATTCCACTGAACTCATTTTTATCAGCATCTTTCAAATTCTTGGTTGTTTCTGTTTCTGACTCACACAACATTTTCTTATTAGAATTCTCAGCTTCTAGACGACGCCTCTCATGCCGGTTCTTAGCTAAGAGCTCCACAATCTCAATTGGAATGTCATTTACAGATTCCAATTCACTCATCTTATCGGCTATTTCATCACTTTGGTTTTTAGTGGCTTCCGAATGCCCTTGGATGCCCATGTTGTTCTCGTAATTGTCTATGAAGGGGAGCTCCTGAAAATAAAAGGAAACGTTTCACAAAAATAACGAACAAGTTCAACAATTGATCATTTCCTTCCATAGAGGCAAATGTGTAGAAATGTAAAAATATAAAGCATATAATTAAACTGAAAAGAAAAAGAACATAAATCACATATATATACTTAGATGGATGAACATATCCATATTTCATATGTGAATGGAGGTTTTCATGAACACTAATTTCAAAACTTTTTACATGCTAGTCAAGAAACAAAAGCTATGCAAGGAAAACAAACAAAACTTAATATTCATCTAAATTGAGAGGAACAAGAAGTTGGTTTATGGAATATTAAATGGCTTGTAATACTAGATGTGCTTCTTTGCTGACCATATCCACTGTTCTTAGTTTCACCGTAGGACCATATACCACCAAAAAAAAAAAAAATGCAGTCCAAACCAAAGGCAAAACTCTATTTGGTCAATGATCAATGAGCGTTTCTAGTTAGCATGCATGATTGCTGTTAATCATGGAAATTCAAATAATATTATTGTTGATTATTGAGTCAGACAAGTGACACCAACATTTCTTGTAAGAAATCAAACCGCCATTGTGACATCTAGTAAGCCAGCAGTTCATAGTATATTTTTAACAAAAGATTTTAACACAGAGGAAATTAAAGCACACCAATTGTTTTTGATACAAAAATCATAGCACTTGCAATGATATTGGCAGTGGCAGAAAAAACCTCAATACCTTTGACCAGATTGTGGATGCCCCATCTTGAACTTGAGACATGTTATTTTGCTTGATACTCGTACTAGCCTTTTTGTGGGTAGCCTTTTTATTTTTCAAACCAGAATGTGCACCTCTTTCAGAAGATGAATTAGTGGCATATCTTAAAAATACACCTGTGGTTTCAGCATGCTTGACTACTATCTCTTTCCCACTTCCAATTTGAGATATCTCTTCTTTGTGGTTCTGCAAAGTTGATTCTCTATCACTTCTCTCTGAATCCATGCGACAATTAACAGAAGCATGAAGTCCTCTTCCAGATATTCTCTTTTGTGCTGTTTTAGCAGGAACTATATCAGTTTTAGTGCTCCTAAAATTTACATCTTGATAAGTTGCTGAACAGTCACCTTCGACAAGAGCCATATTGGTTTGCAACTCACTCACAACAGCCTTTCCACGTGCAGCTTTGTTGCTAAAAACACTAGGGTGTATGTATATTCCTGTGGATGCATCCATAGCAGATCTGAAGGGAGAAATTCCCACTCCAACTTGATCGTGTTCGTCATCGTGCCTTATAACCTGGTCCTGACTTTGCATGCCCGCTTGTAGAGGTATTAAAGTATCCCGAGCATCCTCAAGAATATTACTTTCCTTTAAACAAAAAGTAGATTTCTGATTGCTTTCTTCAAACCGAGTCCTCTTATTTTTTTTCTTGCTCTGAATAACCTTTCCATCACCAGTCCTGTTTTCATTGCATCGAATTTTGAAATCACTACGTAAACCCTCCCAACCAAACACATCTTTTACTGATTTAGAATTAGCAATTTCAGATGCTGAGTCAAAGCAATTGTGCGTTGGGTAAGACCTTGTAGAGTCTATGCAATTGTTCTCTTGATCTCTCTCATAAATCCGAATTTTTTCAGACACACTCTTTGACCATCTCATTTGTGAAGGAGGTTCTTGGTCTTTGGCTTGAAGCGTTTTCCTTCTTTTGCTCTTAGCCTTGGCATCCTTTTCAACATTTTCTTGAACAGCAACCTGACCCCCTGAATGAATATCTAAACCTAGGCCATCAAGATCGTCTGCATAGTTAGTTTGAGTGACCTTGGTGTTGACATGATCAGAACTTGTTATTCCATCAGAACCGGAAATTTTGGTGGAAGCAATAGAAACCTCGCTTTTTATGATATCAGTCAACAAGCGGAACTTTTGTGGTTTTCTAGAACTCAAAATTTGGCTTGAATCACCTGGCCAATCTGTATGAAATTGATCGTGGAAACCATGTGCATCATCATCATCATCCTCGCTGGATTTCAAGGGATGAACTTTGCTTGTATGACCACCAATAAGAGAATCTACAACCTCCTTCTCCGAAGTCCCCAGTTTGGGTTTTTGATGCAACATCATTTCCTCCAATTGTTCACTGTTACTAGTTCCACAATTTTCCTCCACAAGTTCCTCCAGTCCATCGCCTTCCAAGTTGAGATTTATTGTTTCTAAAAAATCAACAATGTCACAGTAAGATGTGTTGAACAGTGTCTATTAGTTCACAAAGTATCAATAAATTTTTACCTGTATCTTTAGTAGCTTCTTTGTTGACACATTGAGCATCCATCATTTCACAAGTATTTGCTTCTTTTATTGTCTTATCTACATCCTTTACCACAGTATTGTTGTAGTTTTCAGATGTATTTATATCTGCAAGAAGCACAGGCAATAAATTTAGTTCTTACATAGGTTCATACATTGCTAAGATCTAAGAAGCATGAAGACTTTTAAGAAAGTAACGTGTTGTGTCCAACACCAACACGACACTCGTCGGGCACTTTCTAACTCTTGGACACAATGAAACACATTACAAGTTTGAATAAAATAACTTGGAATTCAATGATAAAACAAAAATAATGTACCTTGTTTAGACTTTTAAAAATTATATGACATATAATTATTTTTTTACACTTATATATGACAAAATAAATATGAAATTATATATTTTGCATGTCTTCCGCATGTATCGCGTCCTACAGTTTTTGAAAATTTCCATGTCAACGTGTCTGCATCCATGCTTCTTAGGCTGAGATCATCTCATGATCATACATAAATTTACCTGGTCTAATGATAGACATGACATTGGCTACCATTTCCTTCGTATGATCATGTATCATTGGGCAAAGTTCAGAACTGATCACATCCGTTGAAGTATTGACATCAGAATTGCTTGATTCACCAAGTTTATCTGCAGATGCCCCCAATATTAGAAAGCAAGACTGTGATATCAATATGACATGTCGTGATGCCATTCGCATGAAAAAAAAAATTACAATAGAATTTAGTCATGTAACGTAACAACTGGAAACCAGTCTAATATCTGCTGCATCATCTGAAGCATCACCTCTCTGGACACAGTTTTGGCAATCCCACCATCTAAACTCTGGGACATGTAGGGGAGGAAGCATGTCAGCTAGTTTCTTGGATTCTTGATTGTCATCAAGAGAAGAAAATGGCCAACAAATTTTCCAGTCTTTTCTACAAATCTCAGCAACATAAGCACTACATTCACAGAATCACAATATATGTGAATTATTAGGAAAGTTCATCATCAAACGCTTCAGTATTTTCTTTGCTGCTAAAAAAAAATAAAAAAGTACATAGCCTGCAAAAGTACCTATATAAATTCTCCAGATAAAATATCACAGTTTTTTTTTTTTTCTTCTTCTTCTTTTCTGATTATGTATATTCTTTGGCATTGATTTGTAAGACAAATAAACGAGATCTAGTATGAGTTCAATTTCCATTTATGCAAAGATAAGTTGTATAATAGGATAAAAACATTCATGATGAACCTGACTTATATAAGGCATAATAAAGGTGATATTCAACCAAAATTAAATCACCATTAATACGAATGGTCATTGACAGCACAAATTAACTGCAGCAGAAAGTATTTATTCTGTTTATTTATGCTTGAACATGAGAAAGGGTGCCCACATATGAAGAATTTAATTTCTCACAGAAATTAAGCACACAAATTCATTTTTGATGAAAAAGAGACTAACAATGCAAATTGCAAATGAACATCTCATTTACCATATTATTTTGTTCATAAAAATTTGGCATCCATATGTTCAACAATTTGAAAATTGGTTTTTAACCAAAGACAACTACCTTCAGAGTGAAGCAACTAATAATTATTTCATGCTTACAGCATACTGATGTTAAACACTTACCGAATAGAGAAGTGCCCGCATTTGCCTGTCTTTTTCTTCTCAATGGCACTAACAAAGCCAACAGATGTTGGGTGACTGCTCGACTTGGTAACAACATTGCCGACATTTGTTTCACAAACTCCCTCTTTGGTGGCATTCTTCTCCATCTTCAGGAAGTAAACTTAGATGATTTACAGCGCAGAGATAAGGAAAGTTCTAGACATAAAGGAAAAATCAGAAAGGTTCAAAGCTGATTACATGCATGACATGCCGGCTATGACAGATTATATCATGAAATATAAACCCCCAAGGCAAAAATTAATTAATTTAATTAAAATTAAAAATTATAGACCCTACAAGAAGGGTAAAGAAGTATAGTATGAGACCTTATTGGGTTTTTCATTATAAACATGCAAGAATAGCATGTGATCTTTTGAAGCAGTAACAACATGATAAACTAAAGCTATGGAAATAACAAAAGAAATTGGGAATTATTTGTGATGGTGTAGGTTTTACACAAGGTAAAAATAAATAATTTTTTTTTTAAAAAAAATAGTAATAAAAAAGCATTGGCCAGATGAGTTAGAACATTATCATATGAACAAAATGCGTCAGTCAGTAAAATTAGATATATAAAGGGTTTAGCACCAATGGGAAAAAAATGTAGACAAGCAACTCAGAAGTCTGAACACAAACACTTATATCCAACTTAGATCAAGTATTACATTTAAAAAAAAAAAAAAATCTGGATGTAAACGAAACTAATGAAAAATAGAGCAAAAGTATATAACTGATGTAGCACAGTAGCAGTAATATAAGATAAGAAAGATATAAAGTCTACTGTCACAATTAGACTTAACACCATGCCCAGATCACCGCACAGCAAGTTTGTTCACTAGAGTCAATTAGAACATTGCTACCAATAATGTGAGCCCTTAACTTTATTGAGTAACCATGCAATGGAACATTTAACTAAGCTTTTCCAGATATGGTCAGTTATGAGAAAGAAATAAAGTCATACTGTCAAAATTAGACTGAAAACCAAGCCCAAATCACCCACAGTGAGTTTGTTCACAAGGGTTAATTAAAACATTGCTACCAATAATGTGAGCCCTTACCTTTATCGAATAACTATGCAATGGAACATTTGACTAAAAACATTTCAACAGATGGCAAAATTGCTTCATAAAATAACAAATTTTATCAGTAAACAGTAAGCCTCCGACGAGGGTAAAGAAAGTTGGGTTTTCAAGGCTTTTTACCGAATTTTATACATCAAGACAATTCAAGAGGTGAAACCCACTAAATAAAAGTTTCAAGTTACATCACAAAATAACTCCATCAAAATTTCAAACAAAATTAATTTTGATCTTTTCCACAACATTTACACGCATGCCAACCACTATATATGCCCATAAGCATTAAATATAAGTCTATACGTACAAGTATTTGTATTTACATATAGAAAGAATAAGGAGACTTGAATTTTACCCCAATAAAATTGTTATCACACCACAATACAACATCAATCTTTATCTGGGAAATAAAACAAGTAAGGGTTCATGACTATACAGCAAGAGATAAAGCAAAATTCTTAAATACAATAAAACCCTATAGCAAAAGCTTTGATCTTTAATCAATTGTACACATAAAATAAACTTGATTCAACATTAAATGGATATAAAAGTGAAGATAAAGCTCAGTACAGCTAAGTTTGAGCAACATCAAATTAAAAAGAAAGATATAATCCAAAGATTTAAAAGCAACAAGTGAGAAAGAGAGAGAGAGAGAGAAAGAAAAAAAACCCACTTGGTGTTGATTAGATATCAAGCCCAAAACACCATGGAAATGCTAAGCGAAGGTCTCAGAAAAGAGATCAGTGGGTGTGAAGGTCAGGAGGTGAGGTGTGTGGATAAGATTTGGAAATGGGTGAGAGGGAATCGAGTGCGCAAGTGAGAGAAACCCTAGTTCCTTTCTGGGTTTGGTGAGAGAAAGTAGAGAGAGAGAGTGGGTACGTATAAGAGAGAGAGAGGGAGAGAGAGAGAGAATATTTATGTACCGTGAAAGGAGAGTGAACGGTTTAAACCCGCCATGACAAGTGTTAAAGACTAGGAGTGTGAAGTGTTAAAAAAATAACATTTTAATTAAGTTTTATTTTTAAAAAGATGGTAGTTTTTTTTTTTTTTTTTTTTTTTTTTTTTTTTTTTTTTTTGGTTAAATTTTTTTTGGGTGTTGTCCTCATCACTACCCACTATTAGGTTATGCAAATACTGTTAGGTTAGGTTTTTGGTTTTGAGAAAATTTTTTTAAGCTCGTGGATATGATAATTTTATAAAATAAAAAATATATAATATTTTTATAATAATTGAAGTGTTTTAATATTTTTTTTTAAAAAAATCGATACAAAAAGAATTTATCTCAATACGAAAATTTTAATTTTTATAGAGAAATTTATCTGATTTTACAGAAAAATTTCATTAAAGAATCTAAATAATAAAAAAAATTGTATTGAACGTAAGAATCTTAACTAATAAAAAAAATTGTATTGAACATCTCTTACTATCCAAAGTTGGAGAGAGATGTTTCACTAATTTTTTTTTTAATTTTTCTCTAATTTTGGAGTTTTTATTTGGCTAATAGTTTTAAAAAAAATTATATTATTATTTTTAGTATGTTTCTAAAAAAAAACTATGTAAAAAAATTACTTTTTCAGGTTGGTCTCATCCATAAAGATCTAAAAGTAAATTATTTTTTTATTTTTTATTTTTTATTTTTTATTTTTTACTAAAGCTCATATCTATTTTGAAAAGCTATAGCTAATCTTACCACTCAATAGATGTAGAGTAAATATTCGCCGGTTAAAATTTTTCTTTAGATGGTTAAATTTGGACAATTTGATAAAATAAAAGACTTTTTTGACTTTTTAAAAAAGAATTATTTTAAACTTTTCAGTTTGTCTAGTATTTTTTTAAAATTATTAAAAAAATAAAAAATAATTGCCAAACCCAACTTTAGTCTAAAGATAAACGTGTTATGTCAATTTATTATAAACTCTATGTCTTTATCGAAATATACATAAATTCAAATTTTAAATTCGAACAAAATAATCTGACCCAATATTTAGATGGATCAATAAATTTTGCGAGTGAGCACACAAATTTAAATCTTTACTTTACAGAGAATATAGACACAACACTATTTGATTTGCAGAGTTGAACCTTTCTAAAGAGTCCTTGTTTTGTGCCAACTTTTTTTAATTGGTAACCTTAACCTTAATTTGAAGCTTAAACCTAACTCTAATCAGAGGTCAATTAAAATTATTATGTAATTGTGATCATTCTATTTAGCATTGAATGTAATTTGCCAAATTCTTTGTATAATAATTACAGCTCTAGCAAAACAGTAATAATTACAACTCTAGCAAAACAGTTAACGAAATCTTCTAATCAAGGTAGAAAATGCTTTACAAACTAATACATTTTACAATCTTTTTTTACTTAAATATATATATATATATGTGTGTGTGAGAGAGATATACGACAATAATAATTTTATATTTAAAATGAGACTAAAGATTTAAATTTTTTTGGTTTACAATCAAGAAGTTTGTAGAGAGAATGAAACCCAAAGAAGTAGAATGTAACGAATCATTAATAGGATTACTAAGGAATGGAAATAGAAATAAATAGAAAATTTTCATTTTATTAATTTATATAAGATTTTTATCTCATCAAAATAGACGGCTCAGCCAACCGTGAGGTCCTGACAAATGGATATAAAAAGTGCAAAAAACATTATGCGCACAGAAATTACTTAGATACCAAATACACAATGTATAAATATAAAAACGGTAGTACTACCTGCATCAATTAGTGTATTAACTAGTATATCAACACTAGTTATGACATTATTATTGACCTCACTTATTAGACAAATTATAAATACCAAAAATATCTTAAATTATGCCACATCATCAATTGGTACACTAGTTAGTACACTAATTGGTGCATATAGTATTATTCATATAAAAAATATTTTTAATTATAGATGCCAATATTTCGAATCACATTTGTGTCTTATTTTGTAAAAAAAAATTTCTATACGCATATCACAGTAAAAAATTTGCTTAGAATTGCGAAATAATATCAAAGAAAAGTGACTTTGATAAATCATTACCTAAATAAAGGAATATGACTAATTAAAAAGTAATGGATGTCATTTATTGATAAACATAAGCTTCAAGAGCTTCAAGGTTGTTTTTGTTTTTGTGGGCAACACAAACTTCAAGTTAAAAAGTATGAATGTTTAGGCAATAAAAAAACAAACAACTTACCAAATTAGTTTAGGCATACAATGGTGGCAGTTGAACCCACACATAACCTTTTGTATCATTTGGCAAAAAAATAATGGAAACCATGATGTTTTTGGGACTAGTTTATGGTATGAAATATATTGGCTGGGTAAAAAAAAAATTGAAATTTAGGCTGGGTTATTTTAGTATAAGATCAGATATAAGAATTAATATCATGTGTTCTATTAAATTTGGGACTTTTGACGCATTAGTTAAATTTCTCATATTTAATATCAAAGTTAGTACTTGTGACTAGTTCATATTAGCCGATACATATTGAAATTCTCAACTTTCGATATTAATTTATTAATATATTGGTTAATATTATTTTTGTATCGTCGATACTGATATATTTTTTTGATAATATTATTTAAAATTATTAGGATATTTACAAGTGAAGTCGTCAACGGAGTAACAGCTATCATACAAAAAGGTAAAGTCTTGCTTTTCCATCTATTTTTTTCCTGAGTTTATGGGGAAAATAAAAATCTCTATTTCTTTTGATAAGATTGCAATATATATGAAAATACAAAATCAATGGGTTATAACTACCAAATCATTTCAAATTTTACAACTTATCCTAATTATTTTTAAATTTAAAATACAAATATGTTGGTGTGAATATTTTATAGTCATTGATTATGAAATTAAGATCTCTATTCTTTTTTTCTTTTTTTGATAACTCATTATCCGATTTGTAAAATGAAAATGATTTGAATCCGTAAGTTGGAGTGACTTCAACAACATGCTTAACAGGAAACCCAATATGCTTAGCCTAAAATTTTTTGGCTAATATCACTTCATTACAGGCACCTAAACCCATCAATTCATTAGGTGGAAAATGGATTATGACTTGTTATTTTGAGAATTTGTTTAAGAATATCTGGAGTTGTTTAGTTTAAAGGGAAAATAGTTTAATTTTTTTAAAATAATAATAATTATTATCAAAAGGTGTTTTTAATTTTTATTGTTTAATTATCAACTTTTATAATTTACAAAAGACACACTAAATGGTGTCATTATGTTTGTTTGGGTTGTGTTTAATTATCAACTTTTATAATTATCAAATGGTGTCTCGGAAAGCTACCCAAATGAAAGAATTTGGGTTATGTTTGTTTGGACAGGTTGGATTAGATGAGTTGGTATTTTTGGGACAGTTAATTCCATGTTTGGAGTGACTTAGATTTATAAAGTGAAATTGTAGTCCAAATTTCTCCTTGGTCCTCTATTTTTGTATCTCAACCTTCTTTTGATACTCAGACTCCGTTTGAAAATTGTTTATTTTAATTGACTTGTTTGCTTTTTATAACATATAGTAACTTTTTAACAATTTAGTTAAAAATCAAGCTTTCCAAACGAAGCCTCAATAGTGCTTCATATTGAGTATATGACATCCGAATAAACTATTTATCCAAACCATTATTTTCTAATCAAATATCAAACTATATACTTTATTAAATTATTAATCTAACCTTTTAATCATATTCAAACAAACATATCTAGAACAAAGAAAGTGGATTAAAAAAATACTAGTGCTCATATCGTGTGTATTTACCCAAGAAAAACTAAAAATTAAATAAAATAAATGGAGGATTAATAATCATTGATTTGTGGTGGAGAAATACGTATTCATATAACTACGTACATAGAAATAAGAGGCACTACGAGCTTTGACCAAATCAAGGATGATTACCAAGTCAAAAGAAAAACTACTATAAATTTTATTTTATAATATACAACTAAGGCCTGGTTAGGAAAGTAGACTATTTTAATTAATTTTTTTTTGTTATTTAACTATTTTAGTTTGGTTAAAAAAGTTATATTTAAGATGATAGTTGATTTTTTTTAAGTTGATTTGATAATTGTAAGAGAAAAAGTGAAATGATTTTAGATATAACATTTTGTCTTATTAGTTATTTTAACTTATTTTATCTTTATTGACTATTTTAGCCAAAAAAAAAACCACAAACCCAAGTGCCCACGTGTACCATATGTCCTATTTATAATTTTTTATTTTGATCTATTATGATATTAATTATGACTAGTTATAACTCATTTTGATATTAAGGCCAAGTTTGGCATCTCCAATATAATTCATCTTTTAATTTTTTTCATCACATCACCTCTCTACTTTTCTGCACATCTTTTTGTAAAAAGATTAAAAGTACACTTATTTAGATCATCTCAAACAATCCCTAATTATAACCTATTATAATTATTATTTTAATTATGATAACAAAAGATCTTTAGTTATACCATGTTTGGTTATAATTTATTATAATTAAAAGGGTGTGTATTTCAGCATGACCCAAAACCCAAAAACTATTGGAAAAATTACTTGTCAGATAAATCTTCAAAAATTAATTACAAAACCATGAAAAATTTCATATGATTTTACTTTTAAATTTTTGTAAAGTTTATCGATAATTAAGAAATATTTTTTACAACATTCACTAGGATGATATTTCTCTAAAATTATTCAGTGCCTCAGGCATCATGTGACTCATTTTAGGTCACATGCCAATCATAATATATTATGCCTTTATTATTTTCCTCTCAATTAACATAAAATTATAAATTATGTAATGGATAACATCTGACCATGTGACATATTGTGATCTTTTTATTTAAAACTTTTAATGCTCATAACCCTAGGTATAATTTGTAAGTTTGTTATTATCATATCATTTTTATCAATA